ATTAGTCTTAATTTCTCTTGCAACATTTGGACGGTAGGCTCAGAATTTGGTGTCAACCACATGAAAACTTGGATCCATCCTGCCTTGTATTAATAATTCAGGCAGCATTCAAGCATTAAGGTAATTCTGAAGGTAAAAGGGGGTCGAACCCGGTACTAATAAAGTAGCCAGTTTAAAACAGAGATCTGTGACTCATCATTTTCTCATTTTTTCATGAGGATATAAGATGACTTGTATTGCGATGTGACTATTTTGTCATGTCGCCCAGCCATAAATGACAGGCCAATAAATCTAAAGCAATCACACACTTCAAAGCAGCATTTGGACCAACCTAATGTCACTTGTTGTGGACTATAGCTCAAGTTAGTGATAAAAAGTGGTCTCTGATTCACAGGACATGTGTCAAGGTAAATGACAGAGAGGAGTTACATGGTGCCAATGCATTTAAGGGAAAATGTCACTCTGACTCGAACTAGGGCGCAAGCAGCACTATTTGTTGTGCACTTACTGACAATAATCTCTTTTAACAGGTCGATACATTATGCATGCAGTTAGTCATTTCCAAGAGTGTGATTTTTTTTCATCCACCAAATGCAAAGACATTACACACAATCCTGTAAGAATTCCAAAATCTGAGCAAATCTGAACGGAGTAATCCATCTATTGTGTAATTTTACCTCAAGCATGTGTAGATCTGATTGCTGTGTGTGAAAGGAAAGCACTCTGGCTTCAGATGGATGGCCGTAGACAATAACACTGGCTAAAAATGGAAACGGGCGAGAGATTAAATATGTCTTTCTGAGTTGACAAGGATTTAGAGTTTTCTGCTTTTGCACAAATGTTGTTTTCCTCCCAAAGCATCAGCGTTTCCTGTTTTTCCACTTTTTCATAACTCACAAAATAACCATGGTGCCAATGTGATTCCACAACATTAGGAAATCAAAAACAACAGTCAATTTGATACTGTAATGACAACCTTTTCAGAAAGTATACATTTGTACATAAAGGGTCTATACATGTAAGTTTGCATATCTAAAAAGCACAAAGAAAAGATACCAACCGACAGCTTTGTACATTTACGTTGTTGGATAACTTGTCGCCTATTGTTAATCATAAAAAAATGCATTTCTGATATCTTCTTGTATTTTTCTACAGAAGAAAGTTAGTCATGCAGTTTGTAAATTGACTTTTTGAAAATAAAACATTTTTGAATAAATATTTGAGTTTTTTTTAATTAAACTTAAACTTTAATATGGCTATTTCTCACTTTTAATTTTAATGCATTTAATTACGTTTATTAACTAGACCAGGGGTGCCCAAACTTTTTCTTATGAAGGGCCAAAAACTAAACTTAACTGAGGGCTGTGGGGCGAAAGTATATTAAAGTTTCCATGAGTAATCTCCTAATTAATTTCCTAACATTTAAAAATAACTAGAAAGTTATATTAATGAATGCAGTACATTCATTTATTCATTTTCTTTTCAGCTTAGTCCCTTTATTAATCCTGGGTCACCACAGCGGAATAAACCACCAATTTATCCAGCACATGTTTTACGCAGCGGATGCCCTTCCAGCCGCAACCTATTTCTGGAAAACAGTGGACAGCACTACAGCGCCACCGCGTCATCGAATGTAGTATATTTAATAGTTATTAGTTATTACAGCAAAAACATAAACAATCGCATTATTACAATGGATTTCAATGCTGAATACGCTAAGCTGCACCTGCCTTTGCCTTGACTTGCTCACCGATGTCTTGTTATATCCGTCGAGTATTTAAATTTTTAAAAATCTTTTGAATTTACAAAAGTAAAGAAATAACAAAACAAACAAGCAAAAGGTTACATTACATTCAAAATGACTTAATTTTTTAAAAGATACATTCACCCCAACCACCAACCCATCATTCTCCCTCTCTCCTCAAATGGAATGGTGTGCAAAATCAAAGATTAGAATGGGCCAACTTTGGACATCTTAGAACTAGACTGTAGTGTTGCCTATAGTCCTTTTGCAGTTAATTGGATTGAAGCGTTTATTTGATCTGAAAATGTAAACAGAATAAAGGAATACACCAAGTATTTTTGGTTTATTATACCTTTTTAGGTCAATATTTTGATAAAAACGTATTACCATGATGAAAAAGCTTCCGCAATTATTCACATGTCATTTCATGTTTTTAATCAATTGATGTAAATGATAACAACTTAAACTTGCTATTTCAATACAAAACTATTAAAGCTGTAGGTTCAGCAGGGCTGAGGACAATGACAGGGTTTGCACATTTTTAAAGTGTTTTTAATAAAGAAAAAATAATCTGAGAACTAAATAAATTACTTATTCCTTTACATAACAACTTATAAATCAACCATCAGCCAATTTTAAAAACTTTTGGGCTATTAAATAATTTTTATTCACTGTATTTGTTTATTTTTTAAGGACAGAATATGTAGCCTATGGTTCTGGTATGTCTCAAAGAGTGTGTCTTGTTTGGAGGCTGTCTTGTTTATGTCAGTGAATATAGTAGCATACGTCAGTTTTAAATTCCCAGGTGAAATCATCAGGTGTTTATCTAATGTTAAACTTAGAAAGCTCCGCAATTGGATTTAACTGTAATTAAATTGTTTAATATTAGCAACACATTTTATAGCCGGTCATAGGCTAGCAGCTTTAAATCTTAAGTCTTCATAAACGTGAATATTCGTGTGGGAAACACCTGCTCCTGTCACTGTTAAACCATACCAAAAATAAATATCTATATAAAAAAACAGTACCATCAGTACTATCCCCCATTTCTGTTGCATAAGATTTAATCTGTGGGCAAAGTTGGTGATGTTTAGGATCATCTGTATTAGAGGCAGTGGCAGTGAGTGAATCATGTGTCTGCTCGCGCTGAACCGGACCTCCGCGAGGCGCTGATCACGAGAGGAATGGGCATTCGGTACTCGTCCCTGGATGCGCAGAAATCTCTTCAAAATGCCAACTTTCTCGGTCATGTACAAAGGAGCTGTCATGATTAGCAGGTAAATATGGTTGTTTTGCGATTCTGTGCAGGTTGAGCGCCGTTATGCCTCGTTTTTCTCCAGTTCATTAGTTCAGACAGCGGTAAAAAGCGCGTTCTCGAGAGGAGCGTCGACGTGTTTGACTTCACTTTGAAGGTTTTGGTGACTTTCGGGGTACTTTGTGGTGCCCGTGTGTTGTGCTCAGGTGTGTAACTTGCGAAAAAAATTTTGCGGACACAACGAGAATGAAAAACGCGAGTAAAATCGAAACAGCTGTTGCTTCATATTTTCATTTATCATGTATCGCTTACGTATTGCATTGAGTAGTTACTGTGTATAAAGAGTATGTTTGGTTTCATTTACCCGCTGTGTTTTGAAGAGCCACAACAGTGTATAGGATGTACTATTAATGTGCTCTAATCACCGGGAGATTATAATGTGTTTGTGCGTGCTCACTAAATCCATTCATACTAAACACCTCATGGAAATTACAAAACTTTGTTTAAATGTGGTTTATTATAATCATGACCCCCCAAACTTTGTGATGCTTAGGACCCTACAAAATGCTAAACCACAGCTTTCTAAATATGTGAGTATAATAACATAGTGTACATAATTATGTTAGGACAACAGGTTGTTTGCTAAATTAGTAGACATTATACTGTATAATGATTAAACTAAAAACAAAATACATCTTTAAAATGTTATCTGGATAATGTTTATTTACATTAATGGGCAGTGTGTACATAAAAGATAGCATTTTTAGTGTAATTGAAATGTTGTTTTTTTTAAGTGATATGTATAATATTCCCACATTACTGAAAATATCCCCAATAAGAAAACTAAAAAAGATAGTAATCAATATTAGTTCAGATGCAAAAACCAGTGCCATCTGAAATTTCCTTCGAAAAATTTATATTTTGGTTAATGTAGAGATATTTCACTTTAAAGACCAGGAAAATGATTTATTCTTTGCCATAAAAGTGATTTTACTGAACATACACTCAGGAGCCTGATAAAAATGCTCATTTTAGAGGAAAATTTCACATGACATTTACAGGTTTTTGTATCTAAGCTCTTCAAATACTAACTATGCTTTGATGTGTGGGTGTTTAACTAGTTAATAAATACCTTTTAAACACATTTCATATTGTTAAAAAGGCAACCATCATGATCCCTCTTAGAATTTTCTGAATCTCAAATAATAATAATAATTGAATTAATCTGCTCAATTATTGCATTAATACAATAAATTTATATATACATACATTGCATTAGGCATTTTATTAATATCATAAGTTACCAGGTTACATTTAACAGCCGTCAAAATCTTTTTTGATTTCCACTGACTCTCAGTCAGTTTTTTTGGAGTGCGCTATGTTGGGAACAGCAGACACTCTTTGTTACGTAACTCTTGTGAAGCACGGCTAGCTTGAATTTTGTGTCAGTAAGATGTCTTCGGTTTGAACCATCAAGTATGATTTCAAGGGCAAATCAGGAATTTGCTGGATTGCAATGGGAACTTGTAATCTTTCTGGTGTTAGCGCTAGTAGGTCACTGACAACAAAACACCCTTCAAGAATGACACTTTTCTGATATATTATTAAAAAAAAAATCTCATAAAAGTTCCCTCAGTTGCCTTGTTCTGTGACTTCTCATGCATGCTTTCAAATATCAGAACCACACACAGATTTTAAGGTCTTGAAAAGAGTCCATTTTTAGGAGCCTGTCCAAAGCAGGACATTCGTGGTAAATAATTAATACTGATTCCCTGCTGGAATGAACTGGTCTTGATGCTAATAACAGTCCGCAGGCTGAGTGTGTACAGCATTCACCCCACACATCAATTCACAGTGTATTTTGTTGACAATATTTCATAAATTGGGTCACAAGCTTCAAATTTAACTGACTTTTATTACCCCAAAATGTAACAAGTCTGCTATTAAGTTGCTTTTAGAGATTTATCAGTGAAATCTTCTGTTTTTCTGTGTCCTGCACAGGACACTAATGGGTCCGTATGGAGTAGATCGAGCAGTGCATTCAATGGAGTTTACAGACTGTGAGAATGGACTAGGTAAGTGGCTCCTGCAATGTTCTATCATTGTGCATTTAATGTGTTGTATACTTAACAAAACATCTTATTAAACATCTTTGATATAATTTACATTCATATTGCATTTACAGTGACACTTTACAGTAGGGTTGTATTAGTGTTCATGTTAGTTACATTTACATTTGCTACGTACTATGCATTTACTGACATGAACAATATATTCATTACAGTAAATGTAACTGTACTCAGTTGGTTTGAGTACTCTTCATTTATTAGGTTTTACTGTGCTCAAATTGCTTTTTTTAGTCAAATGTTTGAGTTACCTTAACTTTTTACAGGATTTTACAGTATATGTATGAATGAAACCCAAATGCTGCACAAAAAAGACAAATGCTAACTTTATTTGAGTGTAACAAACAACATTTATTTAACAGTTCATGTCATATTACAATTTGTAATCATTTTTATATGTAAGTGTGGCAAGCAGAATATACTTTCTCAAAAAATACTTCCCTGTATTATTCCAAAATCACTGTCTTCAATCTGTGCGGAGCTTCTTAGAAAGCATTTTTAAAAAAAGGTTTAAGACCGAAGGGGTACTAAGAATTATTCAAAACTTAAGAAAGGTATAGGGCAGCACATTTCCTATTCATTTTAATGAGGGCTATTGTACAGCACACGTCTCTGATCTCTAATGGCCATGGGGAAGTGAAACGAAGCACATGGTGGAGTCTCCGAGCAAAGCGGCGGCGTAGGTTTAGGGTACGCTTGTTTTCCAGTCTTTCAAGTCTTAGCGCTGTCTTTGTTATATTTATTCCACAGCCTGATCTGCCTCTTCACAAAAGATCAAAAACATTATTTGAAGGCAGCTCTAAGCTCCTTAAACCTGTCCTTCTTACATCCCAACTTGCACAGTCAACAATCCATTGTGTGACAAGACGATTCTGTTTTAGCAGACATTTTCGTGAATATAGACTCGGGAAGTGCTGCTCTGAACAAAAACAGCGTAGAAAAATCGAATATTTTCATATACAGATTTAAAAGTGTGACACTGTCATAAGCATTCAAGGGTTTTTCTAGGACACAGCCCTTACTTTGCTTTTATTTTAGAGTATGTGAAATATTTTGAGTTTTTTATGGATAACCAGTTTGCGGATCTTCTCATTAAAGAGTTATCTTCTTAAAGTGAATCTATTAATATGTAACACCAGCTCAAAACTCAATTAGTGCCAATATATTGTTTATCTATTAATACCAGATAAGCCTGTGGCAAAAAGAGGATATTTATTATGCCACGAATAAGACTAAACCCTTGTGACCAAAGTAATTCTAAAGCATTAAGGGATGAGTCCTTTACCATGTCTTTCTGAATGCCTGCAAATGAATCTTCAACAGGTAACAGTGTGAAAGATGCTCATCTCATTAACGGCTTTTGTGTTTTGTTGGCGTCAGAGCTCAATGCATGTTGTTTAAACAATTAAGGGGCTTATAACACTGATTTGCGCTTGCCCTTTTTCTGATAATTGATCTGACTTCCTCTCACATTGACATGTATATGTAGTGGATGTGTTTACATGAAGTGTTCATTGTGCAATCAGTTGGAAAGTTCAGTTGTTGCATGTAAAATCACCTTTATTGAGAAAAAGTGCCTTTCCTTGGTTTGAGAAGAGTGGGATAATCCATTTCTAATCTGATGTAGAAGACATGTAAGCACTTGAACTCACTGAAAACTGGAACTGGAAAGTTTTGCACACTTGCCAATATCAAAAGTTGTGATAATGCGAAGGGTGGCACTGTGGCTCAGCGATTAGCACTCTCACCTCACAGACGTTGCTGGCTGGGTCAGTTGGCATTTCTGTATGGAGTTTGCCGGGTGTTCCGGTTTCCCCCACGGTCCAAACACATGCGGTACAGGTGCATGGGAAAAGCTAAATTGGCTGTAGTGTGTAAATGAAAGACTGTGGGTTAAAGCTCCATGATATTGGAAAAAACTGACATTGCAATATTTTCATTTACTGCGATTTATGTTGCAATATAAATGCAATTTGACCAGATGACTTGAATAGCTTCGAAAGAATTAAAATTTTTAGATAAATTTGGGATTGATTGCAATTGACCTTATTTTGAGATGCATAAGTGCACTTGTTTTTGTGATTGTTTTAGAACTTTTGATTCAGTTGCCCATGGGAGAAATGACTAGGAATAATAAACCACAGAAAACAGTCAAACTACTTGCTCTACAAACAAGTATTTGCATGACTATACAGACAAAGCAGAATAATATAATAAGAAAATGTCAGTTTGCAACGTCAAGCAGCAAAGCAAGCTATTTTTAACGTCTTAAAATAAATGGAAGTGAATGAGACCGCAAGTCTTGAGTCAAAAAGATTCAAATGGCTGCGCCCGCTCGTACACAAAGAATAAGATGAGTAGTGGAGCGTTATCGGCATAAAATATTTCAAAAACGAAAAGCAAAGTTCAATACAACACAGAAAAGCTTAAAATGAACAATCATTAATGATTATTCTAGGGAGTCAACCAGTGTGCAGAAACAGAAATTAAATAAACACTGTATAACAATAACAACAACACTATATAATGTACACTGATATAACACTGATATAATATACACTTAATCTTTAAGCTACAAACATTTATTTTATTGTGCCCAAATGGTTAATTTTTTAAATGACTCCGTTATACGGTCAAGTGTAATATCTGATCGACTATAATCTTAACTACATTGCAGATCCCTGTAATGTGGCTATTGCTAACTCACACACATTGCGATATCGATGCTGAAATGATGTATTGTGCAACCCTAATGTGGGTGGTTATCCACTGTCCTCTGGACTCTCATGGCGAACATTACTAAACTAGTGGACTGCTAGTATAGATGCCTGTACAATACATGCATGCCCAATGAGTGTAAAAGGTTACATGTGTTTTTGGGTGCATTGTGTGGACAGAGTTTTTTTTTTCTATTATAAAATGAGGTTTGTTTTAAAAAATAACGCACTGGTTTAAACGCAGTCTACAGTGGAGCGATGGCAATAATACTCCTGCCTATATTGTGCATCCTCGAGGTTTGTTTACACTCTTATTTCCTGAAATCTGAGACACTGTATGGCGATAGACAGACTTGTACCCTGTTCAGAGCTGAATTCCCGGAGAACTGTTGAACCAACTGACCGCTGAGATTTCCCTCTTGTGCATTTGTCTTTGTGGTTGACCAGCTTTTTTGGGGACTTGATTGTTAATGACATTGTACAGATGAAATAATCACAGAGTTTCTGGCTGAAAAGTTTCTTAAGGCTTTCAACTGGTCAACCTATTGTCATATAGGGCCAAACTTACAAAATTAAATGTAAATATATAGATATATAAATATATTATAATTTTCCTTCCATTTCTTATTTTATGCATGTATTTAATGTATATTTTATTATTTAAAACTTTAATTATTTAATTTTAATATTTAATATACATTTTTTTATATTTATTTAAAAAAAGAATTATTCATACAAACTAATAAATTATACATATATGTTTTTATTCATTAATGCATGTATTTATGTTGAAGAGTTTCAGTTAGTTTAGAGCAGCTCACCATCTTACAAACTCAGTAAAAGCTGTAACGTTAGGCTGTCAGATTTGGTCACCTAACTATATTCCAGGATCCATATTAACATGAAGAACTGAACGAATTTGAAAGTTTACTGACTTTTGATCAGTTTTTTTCTTTCAATTATCTCATTGAAGTTTTTTATACTGTGCTTTATAACGTGTATGTAAACAACTATACTTTAAAAACTGCTCTTTTACTCTTGTTGGGATCTCTTCAAATAGGAATAAGCAATGACCTCGAAATGTAGAAAATTGTAGGTTGTTCTCTGATGAATCTCCACTTAAGGTAAATCTGCTAAAAATACTTTTAATCTCTATACCTTTAACCTGAGAGGTGTAAAGCAGGATTCCTATATGTTTGACCGAGTGCAGCACAGCATTTACATCACCGGAAGAAAAGGATTCTGTCTCCTGATAAAAGTTGAGCTTACTGTTGCGTACTTGACTCCACTTAATGATCTCAGGAGGATGCAAACCTAATGCTCTAAAAGTGGAAGTTCCTATGTGTGTAATACTCAGATGTGAATACTGACCACAAATCCTGACTTTATAGGGAATCATTTGAACATAAGCTCTTTAAGGCTTCACTTATCTTACTGGAAATCAGACACAAATGGGAGCACACCTACAGTAGGTCAGCTTAGGGTTCAGTACTAGGTCATCATATATTCACATTTGGTGGAGTTTCCTTACCACACTGACCAGTAATACAGTGCCCACTGCTCTTTGATGCTTTTCAATGATTTTTTTGTTCTTTTATTTGATCAAATAAAATTGAATACATTTTTTTATTGTATTTTAACTATTTAAAATTAGATATAAAATAAAAAATAAGATATAAAATAAGATAAAATATACATTTTTGAATTCATCTTATTGTATTTACTCATTTATTTTAATAACAATTTACTGTTATTAATGCTATTAAATTGCTGCATAATACTTGGAAATCGTGATGCACTGTCACTTTTTTTCAATATACTGCATTATTGTAAAAATAAAAGTGTTTATTTATTAAACTTTTGAACTGTTGTGTATACAATGCAATGTATAACCATGACAGACTGAAAGTTTACCGTTTGGATGTGTTTTCAAGGCATTTCAACAGAGTTTAAAGCATTCAAGTACAAAAGAAAAGCACATTTGTAACTTTAATGAAGATTAATTTGACTGAATTATTAATTCAGTGAGGAATATTGCCACGATCACCAGCGATCCAGCCTGTGCAAATCACTAACAGACTACAAATCTGCTGGCATATGTACTATAAGTTCCGGTCATGCAAAACACACACACACACACACACACACACACACACACACACACACACACACACACACACACACACACACACACACACACACACACACACACACACACACCTACTTCAAGTCTTCATTGATTACACTCCAACAGTTGATGCTGCTCAAATACTGGTTACACACACATGTATACGGCTCACTTTGAGACACTCATGGCTTAGTTATGTTGTTTGTAAAAATTGCAATGCAGTTTCCTTGCTTTATCTTGTCATGTTTTTGACCCTCGCTTTGTTTTGTTTATGTTCCTTGCTTCCTGCCTTTTTGCCATCCGCCTGTTTATTGACTTCTAAATTATGACCTTTGCTTGCCTGACCATTCTCAATAAACCTGCATTTGGATCCGCACCCCTGTTGTCAGCGCCACTTCACATTATAAATGTACAGTGTTCTATTATATTTTCTTGTTCAGTTGCTGCACCTGAATACTGTTTAACTCTTTGGAAAAACACAAACAACAGTTTTTATTAACTTTTTCTTTGTTCTGTTGTAATTGTTTTCGCTTGCAAAATGTTTATTTTTATCTATGATTCATAAACATACAAAAAAAAATCTAAATTAAGGATTTCTTTCTGAATAGAGCTATTCATGCTATCCGGTGAAATTGTATTCATATCGCAATATAAATAGCAGAGAAACAAAATATACTGGAATTTTCAAATATCATGCAGCTCTAAACTGAAGTATATGTTATAATTGAATCATTATAACCAAGTAGACATATATAAATAATGTTATATATTTAAAACATCATTCATGTAGTACATCTAAAGCTTGCTAGTTAATCAGTTGTTATATGAAAGTCAGAATGTTTTTTAACTCAAATGTCTCAGATCTCAAAAAACACATGAGAGTTTAAATCTCTTTCAGCGGGCATCAGGTAAAGCTGTCTATTGTTTATGGTAAATACAGTATGACAAATCTGTATTTAATCATCTTTTGTTTGGACAGAGAAAGGAGGAATCGTAATCTGTTTGGTCAGAAAACAATAGTCAATGTTCAGAACATTTATTTTACTGTCACCTGTAATCTGATTGTCAGTATGTCGTGAAAGTGCACTGGCATTTGCCAGATCAAAATGGCCATGCAATCCTGTAATATGGTTTCCGTATTTTGCTTGCCTGTATAAACACTTTATCAATGGCTAAACAAAAGTATGAAACGATACTGTTCTGCATGGCCTTAGTGAAGCATGCTTTGTCTCTTCTTTAGGAATCAAAGTGATCGGAGGTGTGAAAGAACTAACAGGAGAGGAATATGGTGTTTATGTGAAGAGGATCTTACCTGGTGGCCTTGCTTCCAGTGATGGTAAGTTTAATCCAATATATATTTTATACATAGCTTGGGTTATTGGCTTACACATTTGTGCAGGTGGTGTCCTAAGATCAGTTTATATAGTCTTATGTGAGTTTGAATTCCATGCTGATCCAGGCTAGTTTATGCTGTGATGCTGCTTGAGTTGTCATACAAACATAATCATATCATTTACAAAAAATGTTTGGTCCTACGCCTTTCACAGATAATAAATACAAATGCACTTGAATTATTGTGTGCTGTTTAGATGTGGAGAGATTTTAATCAGCGTACGAAAAAAAGTTTTTGAAATAAATCACTATATATCTTGGCTTTAATTCATAAATTAGTAAAAGTTTTATTTGTAACTTCTAATTTAATTGTGAATTGCATTGATTTGTTGTATACAGATAACATCTGCTGGCCACATTTTTTTGCAGTGGTGAAAAAGGTGAAAAACTGCCTTTTTGTCACCTGAAAAAAAAGAGCCTCTGTTTGTGCTCAAAAACTAACTTACCATTTATAAAGTGTAATTAAAACGATCCCAAAATTTAAAACAGATATGGGTCAAAAATATCTCTGTGATTGTGTTTTTTTATATTTAAAAAGTCAAGCAATACTACAGAGCCAGAGTGCTGTTTTCCTAAATATAACCTCAGTTTGCATACTGATTTTATAACAGGTCATTAAACAAGAATTTACAGTATAGATGATTTACATTTAAGAAATTTAAACCTAAATGTCTTGTGAAGTGCTTTGAAATATGTATTTTTATTCGATGTATGACGCAATGTCAACCGAAATACGAATATAGGGTGGGACATTGAGTATCTCCTCCTCTTTTAAAAAAAAAACAGCCAATATTGTTTTGTTTTATCACTGCTCAGCCAGTGAGGGTGGTTGAACTCAATTGCATCAAATGAAAAGCAAATGAGAAGCACCTTAAAGGGGTCGGGGCAAGTCATACTAGAGAGCATTTGATTGGTTATGATGTGATGAGAAACTGTAGTGTGAGATGACGTGAATAAAATCCATTTGGGCAGAAGTGACAAACTTCTAGCTTTACATGTTTATATCAGCTTTATATCTTTTAAAAGCAAATTTTGTCACTTATTTAGGGCATCCTAAGATCTTAGATAAACTAAAAATGAATAATACTGATACTAACTAAAAAAGTTTCTTTTTTAATTTATGGGACCATAAAATTACAAACTCTACAGGTAATACAGTAGCATTTTTTAATACAATACAAAAGTATATATTATTTAAATATTTAAGAATAGTATAAAATTATTTGTACCTGAATATTCTAATAAAGGGCGATGCGGTGGCGCAGTAGGTAGGGCTGTCACCTCAGAGCAAGAAGGTCGCTGGTTCGAGCCTCGGCTGGGTCAGTTGGCATTTCTGTGTTGAGTTTGCATGTTCTCCCTGCGTTTGCGTGGGTTTCCTCCGGATGCTCCGGTTTCTCCCACAGTCCAAAGACATGCGGTACAGGTGAATTGGGTAAGCTAAATTGTCCGTAGTGTATGAGTGTGAATGAGTGTGTATGGATGTTTCCCAGAGATGGGTTGCAGCCGGAAGGGCATCCGCTGTGTAAAACATTTGCTGGATAAGTTGGTGGTTCGTTCAGAGGTGGCGACCCCAGATTACTAAAAGAAATAAGCTGAAAAGAAAATGAATGAATGAATTAATATTCTAATATAAGAAGAAACCTTTGACAGAGTCGGACAGTTTAATAAAAAAAATAATTTTTTAACAGTAAAACAAAACTTTTGAGTCCAGTTAGCCAGCAGGAAGTTCAAATCTTTGACCAGTGCATTATTTCATCTCCAGTACATTCAACCATTTTCCTAATGACCAACATGAATCATCCTCATTATTAAATGATTATAAAAAAGCATCTACTGTGATTAAACATTTAAACCATATCATAATTTGAGGCCATAATTCAAACGCGCAGACACAAACTTGAAAGGAAACCATGTCAGTGCAGCTGTTTACATTTCTGCGAAACAGATTGTGTTGTCTGACTGCGTATACCTCTGCTTAAGTCTCTCACGTGTGAAGGGGAGTTTAGCATCATCCCTGTGCTTAGAGTTAATGCTCCTGACGGACTGGAATTAGAGGCTGTCTCCCATTCTGCTGCTGTCGAGCACGGGCTATATGGCAGCTTATATGGGCGCATGCGCTTTGCCAAGGCTTTGCTTGTTTTTTACCCTCGCTCACAGACAACTCACCATTCAGAGATTTTAGCAAGCATCCTGGCTGCTTTCTTCAGTTTGGTGGAAATACAAATAAAGCATGGTGGCATTTACCAGGTAAACGTGTGTTTGGAGGAAATTGAGACAGCTCTTCACAGTCTCCGTTATGCAGGCTGATTGTAAAATGTGACACTAGAAAAGTGGTATTTGGATGAAGTGCTCAGACACAGTGTAGGGCACAGGTGACCCCTTTGAGACTTTACAGCTTGTTTCTTTCTGGAGTTGAACTGTTCTGACAGCATCTCACTGAATGAATGTAGACGTACACCTGACCTATATATGAGCTGTTGTTGATTTGTCCTGCGGAACTGAAAAAGACTGTCACAACTCGATAGCACCTGAAAAGTTGATAAATATTGGCACGAAGCAGTTTGAACTCTTAATAATGATCATCTGTTAAACCATCTGTAAAAGGATTTTAGTCATTGTCAACAGCACCGAAGTCAAGTTCACATCAAGGTCACCTTATAATTACCTTGGCACAACAAAGATTAATTATTTAGCTGCTGGTGTTTTCAGTACTAAAATTACTTAAGCAAAAATCTAATGATTGTACATACCCGGGGTGGCTAACCCTGTTCCTGCAGAGCCACCTTCCTGCAGATTTCAGTTGCAACCCATAACAAACACACCTGAACCAATTAATTAGGACCTGAACACCACATGATAATTACAGGCAGGTGTGTTTGATATGGGTTGCAACTGAAATCTGCATGAAGGTTCTGCTCTTCAGGAACAGGGTTGGCCACCCCTGGTATATACTGTCAGTTGCAACTCAGGCTTATTGTGAAAATGTACCCTCATTTACATATCTGGAGAGTGCGAATTATGTAGCCAGAGCTGCTTATGGCTGCCTTACTTAGGCTACGTTCACACTGCGAGGCTTAGTGCTCAAATCTGATTTTTTCTCAGATCTGATTTTTTTTGCATGGCTGTTCACACTGCTCTCATAAATGTGGCCAATATCAGATTTGCAGTGTGAACAGATCATGGTCCTTAACTGACCCACATGCGCAAAAGTGCATTACGGAGAGAGCACAAAATGTATAATTGTGCTGCATGAGTAAGCATGTTGTCAGATCATGCTTATATGATTATTACCCTTTTCACAGACAACCGTGGTGTATTTCATAAATTGTAAATGATTATTCTGCTACTACTAATGTGTATTTCGGCATTTGAGACCTAAAATAAGTCTCCTGTGATAAAAAAAAACACTGATCGTTTGTGATTTATGACAAATACCGTGTATGGCACTCTGATCACCGGTGTAGTGAACTCATCAAGGGTTAATGAGCAGCCGCAGACTGAGCTGTGAAGGCGAAGTTGGTTTTCTCTGTTTGCGTTGTTCTTTAATTTTACTTCGTTCTAAACAGCAGATACATGCAGAAGGGGGGGTTGGGTGCTCGAGCACCTGCCTTTTTTTCTCTTGAAGAGAAAGTTCTTCCTTATTTGCACACGGATCCCCTATCCGCAACACCCATGACGCTTTTCAGCTTTACGATCAACCCATGCCTCAATCGTTAACCAGATTTGTTAACTACCACCAGTTATGCCTTAAAAATCTTTTTCAACATGAAAAAACAACTTTTTGTGGTAAAGTAATTGCCCTGTGTGTCATTCTATTGTGCTGCTGAGGAGCAGATGATGTTAGCTGCACAGAATGATGACGCATCTAGCGCAAAGATTGTGTAAAAGTCACATGAAATCCGACATAACCGTTCACACTGCGGTCGCATTGCAAAACATCAGATCTGTGTCTGATTTAAGACTAAATATGAAAGTGGCACAGATCTGACCTGAAAAGATCAGATTCCATGCGGTTTGGGCTGTTCACACTGTCATCACCTGAGTCACATGAGGGGGGAAAAAATCAGATTCGTGCCACATTTGCCTGCAGTGTGAACGTAGCCTTATTTAAAATAATAATAATAATAATTCCTTACATTTATATAGCGCTTTTCTGGGCACTCAAAGCGCTTTACACAGTGGGGGTAATCTCCTCATCCACCACCAGTGTGCAGCATCCACCTGGATGACGTGACGGCAGCCATTTTGCGCCAGACCGCACACCACACACCAGCTGATTGGTGGAGAGGAGACAATGATGCAGCCAATTGAATATGGGGATGGTTAGGAGGCCATGATGGACAAAGGCCAGTGGGCAGATAACCCCTACTCTTTTTCGAAGAACATCCTGGGATTTTTAACGACCACAGAGAGTCGGGACCTCGGTTTAGCATCTCATCCGAAAGACGGCGCTCACTGAGCAGTATAGCGTTCCCGTCACTATACAGGGGCATTAGGACCCACACAGACCGCAGGTTGGGCGCCCCCTGCTGGCCTCACTAACACCACTTCCGGAAGCAACCTAGCTTTCCCATGTGGTCTCCCATCCAGGTACTGACCGGGCGCAGCCCTGCTTAGCTTCAGTGGGCGACCATGTGAGAGTTGCAGAGAGCTAGCTGCCGGCGAAAATAAACGCCACGCATGCTGCTAATAACGAAAACACCAGCAGTTGTTTTTAGGAAAGAAGGAGGGTAGGTCAATCGATCAATCAGTCAGTCAGTCAGTGGCTTCTGGTGGATTTACGTGAGCAGAGCAGGCACAAATGGCACTTGCGAAAGAAATTTATTGCAAAAAGCGTACACAGCAGCCTCTGGTGGATAGGAAAAAAAAACTGCAAATAAATGTACGTCCAGGGATATATTTTCCGCTGTCCAGAAACGTATACAGGGGTCATTCATCATAAACCTGGGTTGCTTCAATAAATATAACTATTTTTGTAAATCAGTTGAATTGTGGTCATTTAAAATTATTTTTAAAATAAGACACTTATTCTCATCAAGGCTACATTCATTTGGTCAGACAAAATACAGTGCAGCATTACTACAATTTAAAATAACTTCTTTTTTAGTATAGTTAATATATATATATATATATATATATATATATATATATATATATATATATATATATCATAGATATATACACTAGATATCGCATAGGGACCCTGAGCATGCGTCAATAGCGCCGCCACATTGGTACAGTGCTCCCAGGACAAATGTCATTCAACCGCACTAGTCAAAACAGTGTTATTACGTGAAGATGCGGGACTTTAGCGCTGTCTACGGGTAGTAACGAGCAAACAAAGAAAATTAAGCACAAAGGCAGAACATTTCATAGGTAATATTAAGTTTTTTTCTGTTTTTGTATGTTCTGAACTTTTGTGCTAATCAGGTAACGTTATTGAGGATAATCAGTCACTTACTGCATTCACCATACGGCAAAGCAGCTCCAACTCGCACTAAACACTCGGCTTATGCTAGTTTTGTTGAATAAAATCAGCAAACAATGCAAAAGAAATATGACAACGAGATGCTGCGCTGCCAGAAACTTAAATTATTGTCAGCTAACGTTAGTGGAAGAGTCGTTCGGGGGATTTATTCACAAACGAATCGCTCCCTCCGTCAGTATGAGAAGTGAAAGCAGGAGAGGAGCTGTGTTACAGGACACGGATTATTTTAAATTTAACAAGAAGGGTTAATAGTACATTTCTGTACACACAAACACAAGCTTTTTGTCAGGAATGCCCGTGCGGTCACTGATCCATCAATGTAGAAAAGTGATGTAAAATTATAATTTTCGTAATTAGAAAAAAAAAATTACATACTAACATCCAGGAAAACTCTCGATCATAGATATATGTGTATATGTGTATATCTCTGGCTTTGGATGGCGACAGTCCTCCACTGTACCTTGGTCTCGCATTCATTTCAAAGGAGCGCTACCCTGTAGCAAGATGGCGGCGCTATTGACGCATCCCGTCCAATAGACAACAATAGGCCAGGCGACATCTAGTGTATATATCTATGTATATGTATATATATATATATATATATATATATGATTGCAATAAATAAGTATCGTTGACGGTTAGGAAGAATAAAAAACTGATTATTTAAAATAGAAATCTTTTAAAACATCATTAATGTTTTACTGTGACCTTAGATTAATGTAAGAAAGGTGGTAACAATTTACTCTAAGCTTTAGAATACCAATCAAATTTTCTGTCCCTTTGCCCCTGTCACATAATAGTGATGCGGAGAGAAAAATTTTATGCAACTTTGCTTCAGTCTGATGTACTGTAAGCGATGAATAACCTTAAATTGGACCAACTGAAGTCTACTATTGATTGAACAGGACTGTATCATCTCCTCCATGCATTTATATGTCTTCAGAAAGCTCAGCCCCTGAGTCTTTCTCCCAGGCAGCTTTGAACCTTTTAGTGTGAGCTGCAATTTAGATTAATTAGAACTATTATTACAGATTAAAATAAATAAATTATATTTTACTATATTTTGAAATATTTTAAAAAGTGTTGTGTAGTGAATGAGACAAAAAGTATTAAAAAAACTATGCTATTATGCTACTCCAGTTTTAGCCTATGTCAGTAAAGCAAATGATGTAACAATGCCATCTTTAAAGCTTTTTGTGTTGTGAATTGTTTCTTAGGAAACCTGCAGCCTGGAGACCAAATCCTGGAAGTGAACGGCGAAAGCTTGATTGGCGTGACAAGTGAAAGGTATGGGTTTTCATTCCTTGTTTTCATCATTAAATTGTTATTTCATTATGCCTGTATGAAAATGCATCAATGATTTGTTTAGTTCTTGCATTTTTAACAGATAAGCCATTTTAACCTAGCCACTAATGTTTTACTTTTGTTAATTTTAGAGCGGTGGACATTCTCAGAGCAGCATCTTCAACCAATCACATGCGCCTTCTCATAGCCAGAGATGAGGAAGCCAGGTAAGCCATTGATCATAAAATCAAACAATCACATTATGATTTTTAAAAATAACTGAATGAACTTTGATTTAACTAAAGCAGCGCAGCCAAAAAAGCATTTCAATCATTTATTCGTTTATTTCTGTTTTTTGTTTGGTCAAGTAAACGTGGGCTTTGTAGACAAACATAAGAGACATCTTTCAAAAACATTCAAAATCCTACAGACCTCAAACGTTTGAACTCTATTTATCTGTAAATAATCATTAAAATGATTTGCCTCATTAAGTTTGATCACATTTAAACCAAACACGTGCAATCATTTAGACACTCTCATCCACTGATGCAGATTTAGGGACGTCTGACCTGAGTATCTTTCATTTGAATGTCCACCCCTTAGAAGACATGGTAAATAATTCAACGAAAGCTGAATAATTTTGTTCATAAACTAGATCTGACTGAGTATTGGCAGTGCATAAGAGTCTCTTGGCGTGCTATTCAGAGATGAGCTTCTGGCCTGCAGGCCCCCAAAATGCTTTCATCCACTGTTCACATTCCCCGCTAGATAAAAGCAGCATTCCTGTTGATGGTGATGCTAGTGAGCTTTTCAATGTCTAAAAGCTTTTGACTTACCAACTTATTTGCTGACTTGTTTACTTTCTTACTTACCTTTTTGTTTACTTACTTACTTGATTAATCATTTACTTACTTTCCTACTTATGTATTTACTTCTTATTTACTCACATACCTACTAATTTGCTGACTTATTTAGTTTCACATGGTTTCTGCTACATTCATTCATCCATAGCGGGGCGCCACGCCAAAATTGATCCCGCTACGGCTACAATACAGCTTTTCATTCAAAACATTCAGCCCTGTGTTTTTTAAAGCGGGTGATAATTGCACCAAAACGTATTTGTGCGAACATTTCTTTAACCGTAGTGCTGTGCATCATTTGTTTAACCCTTCAAGGTTACATGCTAACTGGCTGACTGGCTGACTGACAGGTGCGTGATGCGAGAGGCCAGCAAACGCGACGTATAGACAATTTCACTTTACTTCAGGATGCATTTATACTGCTCTGTAGGTCATTCATAAATATTCCTATCAAATTTAATAAATGTTGGAGACATACTTGTTACATAAGCGCACTAAATCGCACTTCAGGAGCGTTTATTTGAGAGCGCACAAGAAGATCTGCGCTTGAGCAGAGTATATTTGTGGGGATGTCCAAGAAGTGTCCGAGGAAATCGGTGCACAAGCAAAGAGATTTGCATGCTCTTAGGCTATTACATAAATGCGATCTTCACTTGTAATACTGCGCTCACAACACTTGTCATTGAAATAACGCCACAGGTAGTTGGTAGATCAGTGTAAAAAATGCCTGCCACCACAGCTGGAAAAAATCCTAGAGGAAACACTCCTTTCCTATATATGTATTGATTTACTTACCTACTTTCTTATTTAGGTACTAACTTACTTATTTACTTCACTTATTTAGTTTTTTTTTTTTTATCTACCCACTTCTCACGTCAAGTGATTGGAAAACCTTTTTTCAGGCATGAACATATAACTTCATTTTATTCTTTTTGGATTTCTTTTTTTTAGTAATTTAAAGCTGAGTTTTGTCATTTTTGTGATAGTAGTGTCACGCAGCAAAATGACAGCAAAATTACAAACTTAGACATATTTTCTAGCAACCTTGCATACTCCACTCATTCTCACTATACAATCCTTTTCATATTTTAAAAAGCAAGCATTAGCTGTTAAATTAAACAAAGTTTAACTTTATGTGCATTGTGATTATAATGAAAAGGTTCTGTACTTTATTGTACACTTTATTGCTGTTTTTAAAATTAATTTATAAGGAAAACAAGCAGGAAAGAAAAGAAATATGTCATGGAACAAGAAATTGATATAATATATATATATATGTTAATCATTTTGCCAATGCCTCAGTGTGCTTTAAGCTTGTTTAGATTTGTAATCAACATCAGATGAAAATTATTGTGTTAAACATATGACTCCATATAAGGATAAAGTCTAGATATGACACAGCTGACATCAATATAGCATCATTTTTTGTATTAACTGTATAACAATAAATTATATTTTTACAGTATTGTAATGGTTGGGATGGGAGTAGGCATTAATAAAATACAATGTAATAAACAACTTCAATAATACTCGATGCAACTACTGTTTTTTCATTACTGTGACATTTGGGTTAAGGGTTGTCGTAGAGTTAGACATTAATAAAATATAATAAATGGGAAATTTAATAAATAATATAAATAATTCTCGTTAGGGGCTGCAAGGTGGCGCAGTCGGTAGCACATTTGCCTCACAATAAGAAGGTCACTGGTTTGAGACTCTGCTGGATCAGTTGGCGTTTCTGTGTAGAGTTTGCATGTTCTCTCTCTGTTGGCGTGGGTTTTCTTCAGGTGCTCCGGTTTCCCCCACAAGTCCAAAGACATGCAGTACAGGTGAATTGGGTAGGCTAAGTTGGCCGTAGTGTATGTGTATGAATGGGTGTGTATGGATGTTTCCCAGTGATGGGTTGCAGCTGAAAGGGCATCTGCTACATAAAACATATGCTGGATAAGTTGACGGTTCATTCCGCTGTGGCATCCCCAGATAAATAAAGGGACTAAGCCAAAAAGAAAATGAATGAATGGATAATTTTCGTTAACTTCCGGCTGCAACCGTATCTGATCTAGCAACAACTCCATATAACGTTATTTATCAGGGCTTTGCATATGGATAGCGACAACTTAGTAGCGTGTGAAATACATTCTCACAAGTTCATGTTACATGCATTTTTTGGGGGGGGCAAATGAGCATTCGTAACCTTGCATGTAGAGAGTGCTCTTAAGAGCAAAGATGCATTGTTATCGGGAAACCCAGCCCTGAACTGGCACTGGCAGTACAGGGATTGTATGAATGAAAGTAAAAGGCATCCTGCATTGCATTTGTGGAGACACAGAGGGAGCATGAGTGAGCGAGAATGAAAACAGACACATGGTTTAAGCCATGATGAGATGAGTCCTTGCGTCTCCATGCTTTAATCTGCGTTCTGCCCTTAACCAATGTGCACTGAGGGGATTACGCCTCTGCCTCCATGCAAAGACCTCCGCTGCCTTCACCCGCATATCAACAACCTGGAAGTCTTCAGGGACCGAAAGACTGAGCGCAGCGTTTTTTAGGCTTTTTGTTTGTGTTTTTTTTCTGAGCAAGATGGATTTGAATGAGCATGGTGTTTATTGAGACAACACTCAAGTCTTTTAGAGTCGGCTTCTTACCATATGCATCGCAACCTTGGGTGACCTCCTCCCTCTAATCCCCAGTGATAACCCATCCTGAGGACGGAGGAAAAGGAGCAAAAAGCTCTTTATGCCTTGCATCATGCGCTTCAAAAGCTGAGTGCACCTGGATATTTGGGACTTAGTATAAATATGAATCAGCTATCTGTATATAGTAGAGCTGTCAACGAACTGGAGGAATACAAATAAACAAATGCAAAGCAAACTAATTCCATCACTAAATTAATATCCACAGACTTGTCACCATTGTTCAGGAGGTGACAGTATGAGAATATGTGACATACGGGACATATGACATTGGAAAAGCAAAAAAAAAAAGTCAGTTTGCCTAAAACACTTCCATTGCACTTACTGAAGATCACTGGACATTTATTAGTACGCAACCAAAATTACATCTGTGGAACAGGGTAGATAATCGATGACATTTAACATCTGGGCCTTTTAACTTTATACATTTAACAAGTAATAGATTATAAGGTAAAATATAAAAAGATAATAAAAATAGAGGATCTGTTTCCTTAAACTAGATTGTCATGTATTTCTTTATTTCAACACTACATATTTACAGTTAAATCCTATATTTAATTTTATTTATTTATTTTATTTAAGCCACACAGGCTTATTGTGTAAACGTATATCTGTATACATTTCTTGAAAGTTTGAATTATGTAGCCAAAGTTTTTTAAATGAACTGTACAGGGTGGTATAATGCCGCTGATGGCTTCTGTTTTGTTTAATGCTTACCAGCTGACCGGTTACCTCTGTGTGGAAGGCTTTTTTTGGCATTACCATTTTGCCTAGTAGCTTGCCGCGTACATCGGTGTACTTGACAGAAGGAGTTGATCACAATGACAAAGTTTAAGTCTAGTGAAGAATGATTGCAGAAAGCAGGAAAAGCAAAAAATAAAATAAACAAGTAAATAAAAGGGAAAGAATGTGGTAAGATCTGAAAACATAAAAATCAAGTAGGCTGTGAGGGCTTTTCTTTTTCTGGATTGCTATTGAAAACATTATTGCTTGGGTTTAGGTAAAGAGGTGGGTTGGGTCATCGGTTGGACAGTCAGTCAGTCAGTCAGTCAGTAGACAGTGGATTTATGTGAGAACAGCAGGCTCAAATGGCACTCGCGAGAGAAATTAGAGATCTGCCAAAGCATACACAGTGGCCTCTAGTGGATTTGCGAAAACAAAAACTGCAAAAAAGTACCCCCTGGAGTGTATTTCACATTCTCCAGAAATGTATACAGGGGTACATATCAATAATGAGCCTGGGTTGCATTTAAATGGCATGATTAGGATTATGCTCGATTATGATTAACATGATTAATTTTTTTATCGATCAAAAATCCTAATATATAGTAATTACTGAATGTTTGGTTGTGCTTTGAACCCTGTGGCTGTGCATTATGGATAAAACAAGCATAGAGCAGCTTTAAAATGTCTATGGTGACACTCGAGGACACCTGCATGTAGGTAAAGAGGCCAGTGGCTGAGGCTGGGCACCAGTACATTATGAATGCATGTCCATTACTGAAAATGATTTGAGTCCAGTGACCGGACATTACTGTTGACCTATATGTGACAATCAAGAGGTGTCTAGGGAAAAATGGCCTGGGATGAAGGCTAAGGGAATATTTAAATAGATTATAGAAAGTGCCCAGTCTAACTAAAGAGAACTCAGCATGTTTTTTACTCAGTAGGCTGATCTGAAAATGACTTTTCATCGCTTTATCTTTCAGTAACAGTACCAGTTTATTATTTCAACTTTTAGTACTGGATCTAATTTATTTCAGCACATCCCAAAGATTTATATTATTGGATTGAAGTCTGGTGTGTTTAGTGAACTCACTATTCATGTTCAAGAAACTTTGGAACTTTGTGACATGATGGGTATTCCTGCTGAAAGTAGCCATCACATGATTCACAGTGGTCATGACGAGATGGACATGGCCAGCAGTGATACTTAGTCTTTTTGTCTTTCAATCGGCTTGAAACTGTCATCAACAAAACATTTCACCCACCAAACCTAAGCTCAATGGATAATATAATTTTTTTCCAGAACATTCTTTGTAAAGCATTTTCTTAAATAGTCAATTCATATAAGCATTCTCTACATGCCTAATTGTGTTGATTTTTCAGATTTTTTATGTTGGTATTTGCATCGTATATGACTATATACTGTAATCGGTCAAACTTTATTTTAAGGTGCAATACTTGCTATTAATAAAATAATAACTAAGACGATTAGCCCAATAAGGTACTAATTTAATGCTTATTAATAGTTTTAAGCTGGGTTTAGGTATTGGGTAGGATTAAGAAAAATTATTTTATAAGTACTGTGCAAAGTAACACTAATATATTAATAATTGGGATTGGTACTTAAAATATTAAATATAAACATTGGGGCAAAAAAGTTTTGTAAAAAAGTATTTAGTCAGCCACTGATTCTCCACTGCAAGTTCTCACACTTAAAAAGATGAGAGAGGCCTGTACGTTTCATCATACCTCAACTATGAGAGACAAAATAAGAAAGACAAATCACTTTGTAGAATTGTTAATGAATTATGCTGCGGTCAAATAGAGTTTGAGCGTGTGGAATTCTGTCGTACAGCACTGCGAAAAAGGGTGGTATTAAACAAAACGATTAGACATTTAAAAAAGTGAGCAATTGGTCCATATTTTGAATTTCCATTAAATAAGTATTTTGTCAACATTTTTGGCTCTCAGACACCTGTAACTCTTTGAAGAGGCTCCTCAGTCCTCCACTCGTTACCTGTATTAATGGCATCTGTTTGAACTTGTTATCAGTGTAAAAGACACCTGTCCACAACCTCAAACAGTCACACTCCAAACTCCACTATGGCCAAGACCAAAGAGCTGTCAAAGGACACCAGAAACAAAATTGTAGACATGGGAAGATTGATTCTGCAATAGGTAAGCAGCTTGGTATGAAGAAATCAATTGTGGGAGCAATTATAAGAACATGGAAGACATACAAGACCACTAATAATCTCCCTTGATCTGGGCCTCCACACAAGATCTCACCCGGTGGGGTCAAAATGATCACAAGAACTGTAAGCAAAATCCCAGAATCACACAGGAGGACCTACTGAATGACCTGCCGAGAGCTGGGACCAAAGTAACAAAGGCTACCATCAGTAACACACTGCACTGACAGAGACTCAAATCCCGCAGTGCCAAACATATCCCCCTGCTTAAGCCAGTACATGTCAAGGCCCATCTGAAGTTTACTAGAGAGCATTTGGATGATCCAGAAGAGGACTGGGCGAATGTCTTATGGTCAGATAAAACCAAAATAGAACTTTTTGATAAATACTGAAATTGTCATGTTTGGAGAAGAAAGAATGCTAAGTTGCATCCAAAGAACACCATACCTACTGTGAAGCATGAGGGTGGAACCATCATGCTTTGTGGCTTTTATGCATGGGGACCAAATGACTGATCTGTGTAAAGAAAAGAAAGGAATATCTTGAGATTTTGAGTGATAACCTCCTTCCATAAGCAAGCTCATTGAAGATGAATTGTGTCTGGGTCTTTCAGCATGACAACGATTTCAAACACTTCACCCGGGCAACGAAGGAGTGGCTGCGTAAGAAACAGTTCAAGGTCCTGTACTGGCCTAGCCAGTCTTCAGACCTCAACCCCATAGAAAATCTTTGGAGGGAGTTGAAAGTCCATGTTGCCCAGCAACAACCCTCAAAAAATCACTGCTCTTGAGGATATCTGCATGGAGAAATCTGTCAAAGTACCAGCAACCATGTGTAAAAATCTTATGAAGACTTACAGAAGACTTGAGATTAAATTTTGTTATTGACCAAATACTTATTTTTCACCATAATTTGCAAATAAATTCTTTTTTGATTTATTTTTATTTTTATCTCTCATAGTTGAGGTATACCTTCGATTAAAAGTTAGACCTCTCATCTTTTAGAGGGAGAACTTGCACAATTGGTGGCTGACTAAATACTTTTTTGTCCCATTGTATATATAAAGTGTTACCACTTAACATACAGTAGAACACACATACACACACACACACATTTATATAGTAGCCAGAAAAAAAAAACACTAAGAAAGATAATCAGTTTTAGATTTTAAAGACCTGAAATTACATTTCAAACATTGGTCATGCCTTTTCCTCATTGTAATGATGCGACAAATTTTAATCACTGATCTCAGCACTCTAGAGAGGATTTATATCTGCTTAGAGCATATTTTGATTGTGTGGATAACATTCTGGAGACCTTCACATTCTGTCCTAAAAAAACTAACATGATATTATTTGGAATAGTTGAAGCTATTCTTACATAATCTGGGAGAAGTAAGGACTGTTATGTCATGCAGGTGTTCAAGGTTTTCTGTGTGATATTATTAGTTTTTTTTGTTGTCTTGGTTGGTTGGATTATTAATATTTTCTCTTTTGTCTTTGCGTAGGCGAGAATTTGCAGAGCTTCTTGAAAAGTACGGCTCAAATGGCAGCACAGGATCTACCAGGAATTCTCCAATTCAGCATAGTAGGTTTCTGTTTCTCACACATAATTTAAAGCCATGTAACTCAATCATTTTTGTGCTCGAGTTTACTAGAATGTCTTTCTTTCCTAACCTCACATAACAAAGGTTATGAGATGCTGATTCATGGAATATGATCCCCCCAAAATGGCTTAGAACAGGAAAGGGAAATCATTTTTATAATGATTTCACTACTACATTGATACGCATTCTCAAATGTAAAACTGAAGTGTTTTTGGAGTCAAGTCAATTATTATTCTAATGTTTGGAGGAGAAACAAATCAGCCCTTGAAAATGGCTTAAGACAGCGCATTTGTCCATTATGCAATTTTGAACATCTGTTTCTGCCGGAGGAAAGACACTCCACAAGGATGAAGCTTGTGCTCAGTCTTATCCGTGCACTCTCTTCAGTGTAGAAAATTCTAATGATGTAACTTGCTTTAAGCACTGCAGCCTTTAATTTTAAAGTGCAAATGAGACAGAGCTTTGCAGGAACTATGGTCAGAACTATGGGCTTCCTCTGGACACTTTTTGTAAGTTTCTCAGACTTCAGTTTGCTGAGAAGCTCAGTATGAGTGTTATATTTCAATATATAGCTTGTTTAAAGCTAATTTCTGTGCTGTGTCCAAAATCCCCAACCACTCAAGTATGTACTACATTTGAAATAATTTAAATTTACTACACAACCATTAGAAAAGTACTTTCTGTATAGTATGAATTTCAGTAGCATGAATGGAGCTCGGACACGCTATATCCTCCATTTGTCATTATAACGTGACTTATACCCACGTCAGTTGCATCGCTTCACTGCCATTCATAGATTTTATTGCGTGGCATAATAGCATAGCGTACATTGTATGCACACTTCATAATCTCGCCGTAAGCAATAGGTCATCTGGGTATTTCTTGCTTACTGTTTTTCGAACACTACTGTATGTATCTGGATGTTTTAATATACGTAAAAACCTAATTTAAAAATGTATATACTGTTTTAATATACTATATAGTTTGGAAGTATGTGATTTAGACCACAGCCATAGTTTTTTTTATATTGCAGTTGGTTTATATTTTATTATTATATTTTTTATAAGAGTTGGATACAAAATAAATTCCAAAAAAAGTCTTTCAATTTTAGCTTATTTTCCAGGTTTAAAGGTGTTTTTTTCCCTCAGGGATAGAGTATTCCAGTCTAAAACATTTTATAAAATGTCAAGCAAAGTGTCATGGATTTTAAAGGCTCTTCATGGAGCTGTTAATGCCAGATAAGAACTTGATTTTTTCTTTCTATAGTTCTTATATAAACTTGGATAATTATAATCTTGTCAAATTTGACACTAAAATTGTCATTGGTGGAAAGAGTACTGAAAAATCATACTCATGTAAAAGTACCATTTCTTGCCCAAAAATGTAGTGCAAGAAGAGTAAAAGTATCTGTTGTTAATGTTACTCAAAGTATGACTAGAAAGTAGCCCTTTTAAAAGTACTCAAGAGTAGTGAGTATTCAGTAGAATGCTGTGAAAAGCTGATGCATTTACATTTAATTTGTGCAGGAATGTGTAAATGTAAAATTCTGTACTGCAATTAGACATTATGTAAGGCGATTTGGCTATTTCAGTCATCATAAAGTAAACATCCGCCATATTCTCATCAGTAACATGCAGTCTAAACAGTCTGTGGGTCATTGTGTGTACAGATTTTGCACATCTTCTTGTACACTTTTAATACTTCCAAATGGTTTGCTACTATCAAAAAGTACCAATGTCTTAAGGTTGTTCAGTATGGTGCGGTTTATTTTCTATGTGTGATTTGATTGGATGGGAATCACAGGACTGATGTGTCTACTTTAGCCAATCCCCATAGACAAAAAAAAATAAAGTAGTGACTGCGGGTTGAAGGAAGGTAGTGGAGTAAAAATTACTGATACAGTACTAATAATGTCAAGGGAAAGCAAAAGTACACAATTTCTAACTACTTTGTAAAGCACAATTCCTAAGAACAACTACTCAGTTATAGTAATTTGAGTCTTTGTAATTTGTTACTTTACACCACTGAAAATCAGACACTATGTAATCCCTAAATCTTCATTTTTTTATGCTAAAGCAGGCAGATATTTGGACAGCACATCATCAGGGTCTTCATCAAGATCTCAAAGTCCTTTATTGCTTAGTCCTGCTGGATCTCAGAACAATTATAACAACACCGGACCTTTGCTACGCTCCTTAAGGTACTTAGAACTAATGGTTTAATATAATAAAGTTTATTTTTGGAATCATATTATGTATATTGACATGTGGCCTCATGTTACAGTATATCATGTTTATGGTTGTGTGTGTGTTTGGTTTCAGTCACCCAGGTGAAGGGGTGATTCAGCTGATAACAGTGGCTCGCTCCTGCAGTTTGGGTATCACCATCGGCGGTGGCTCCAACAGACCTGATGGCCCTGCAGTTTTTATCCAGGAAGTGCTGTCTGGAGGAGACTGTCATCGGGTGAGAGAAAGATTCTTTTTAACTGAAGTAATAGTTATATTTGCTGAACAATTAATATTAGTATTTGCAAAAGCCGGCGACGCGGTGGCACAGTGGGTAGCACTCGCGCCTTACAGCAAGAAGGTCACTGGTTCAAGCCTCGGCTGGGTCAGTTGGCATTTCTGTGTGGAGTTTGCATGTTCTCTCCACGTTTGCATGGGTTTCCTCTGGGTGCTCCATTTTCCCTCACAAGTCCAAAGACATGCGGTACAGCTGAATTGGGTAAGCTAAATTGTCTGTGTGAATGAGTGTGTATGAATGAGAATGTAAGGGTGTTTCCCATGAGTTGCAGCTGGAAGGGCATCTGCTGCGTAAAATATATGCTGGATAAATTGGCGACTCATTCTGCTGTGGTGACCCCTGATTAATAAAGGGACTAAGCCAAGAAGAAAATGAATGAATGAATCTGCAAAAGCCAGGTCGCAATTCTTTCCCAACCAGCAATTTTTTTTCAAGCCTCACAAAATATTGTATAATATTTCAGAATATTTGTAAACAGTTAATATATCAAAAAAAAAAAAAAACAGTTCCTGTCTTTAAACAAAGAAAAAAAGCAAGAATGTTGGTACCAAATCAATTTAATTTAATTTAATTTAATTTAATTTAATTTAATTTAATTTAATTTAATTTAATTTAATTTAATTTAATTTAATTTAATTTAATTTAATTTAATTTAATGTAATTTAATTTAATTTAATTTAATAGTAAATTAAAGTAGTTAATTTAAAGTAAAATACTGATGTATTACACAATTTTATACACAATTTTGTCCAACAAATAGTTCGGATTGAATTGACAAAAAAAGACTATTTTGAGATAAAGCTTGTACATTTGCACATCTCTTCATGTTTTTTTTTCATTTTGTTCTAAAATATTATGCTGCATTGATTTATGTGCAGTTTAGGGTTTGATAATCATCATTTCTGTTTATTTGATGACTATGGATTTGGCCTATTCTTTGACGTCTATTGGATTTTCACTGACAGCCCAAATTTAAGCTTGTTTTAGCCAAGATGACTATGTTTAGACGTCTATTAGACATCTATTAAAAACAAAAAATGCTTGCTGGAATATGGCCATATATCATATATGATTTGTGTGGGTTAAATGAACTTCAATGTAAATGGTATGCTCTGAAACACTAATTGCTGCACTGGGATCTTGTCAGTTTGCAAACAGAATTTTAATTCTTTATCTTAACGACATCGGGTTGGTAAAGAGCCACAATATACACATTTGTCAGCAGAATTTGACTAAACAGGATGTTGCTACAATTTTAATTTGTTAAATATTGAGTGTGTTTACGTGCCTGTTCCTAAACCAATTACACTTATTAAGCCGGCAGTGCGTGTGGTCGTGTAAATGCGTTAAACAGTTTTTCCTTATCGGCGTAAGGTCTTAAACATCTTAACCTTAAACCGATCGACACTGGTAGCTATTTGCCTATTAGCTTGATTTTGCCCGCCACGTAAACACCTTAACGGTGATCTGTCGGCTTATTGAAGTGCGCATGTGTAATATATGACAGGATCACATCCTCGCGGCAGATTTAAGCACATCCAGCAACAGTGAGTGCTTCATCTTTGGCAGGGGGGAGATATATCACAAACTCAAACTAATTTTTGACCCAAGAAATTGTAAAAGCGTGCTCCTAACACATGCAGACAGAGAAAATATATGGAAAATGAGTTTTTTGCTAAGCATGGCTCAAATAATGTGAAACTTTATTTAGAATAATGTGGATTTTTACATTGTAATGAAATCGAGAGCTTATTTGTGTGCATGCGCACCTCGCACAGAAAAGAACAAGAAGCTGACACTTATGCATTTATTAGAAAATAAAGTGTGCTAGAAGCAGACACCGATGAGTCTGATACATCACACAATTCGTGGAAGTGTTTGGGCTGAGCACCAGAAAGAAACCGATTATGAAGCTCCAGGAATCCTGCTCCCCAAAGCAAGGATCACTCAGCTTTTTACACCTCACTATTAAGCTCCAACACATTTAGCCATCCTTATCGCAAAGGGGGTTAGAATTAAAGTGAGGATGACAACCTAGAATGTCAGGCAACTTCGCTTCAGCCTGTGTGCAAAGGTTTACTTTAAACAGGTGGATGTCTCCTGGAAACAGTCAAAGTAGTTTTAATCTAGGCATTACATTGTCTTCCCCAGTAAGAGTTTTCCCCAGTAGAGAGAGAGAGAGATAGTAGGGCTGTTGTGGGGATGGACAATGCTGTGACAGCAGACTGCAGAGGTCAGGTGTACAGAAGGCTGTCGAGGGCATCACCCTCCCGGCGGAATATAAAACTCATTCTCCTACGCCACTATTGTGCTGAAACCCAGATATTCAATAGCGCTCAGATTTTCAGGGTGTCAGGTTGTTGGCCATCTGTAACACCTATTATATAAGGTCCCATGTCCATTTGGAATCGCTTCACAACAATCGGTGATTAGCTCTTCCTGTCCGAAATAAACCATTTTGATGTTTGTTGGCTTACTTTAGGAGGATCGCTCTCCAGTTTTTGATTTTAGTGATCGCTCTCCAGTTTTTGATTTTAGTGTTTATTTACATGTTGTTGGTATATTCCCCCCCATAAAAGCAGAATTACTGCTCGCACACTTTTATAAAGTGTAGTTTTTATAGTGATGCAATGGACTAACCATTTTAAGTTCCTTCAAAAACATTTCAGTGAAGATTTCTCAAATGAACGATGATCTAAAGAACATGTTTCCACTATAATATGCTTTTGTGGAATGAAGAGATTTTGTGGATGTTAAAGGCTCTTTGTTGAGTTCTCAATTCCATTAAAGAGCTTTTATTTTTAGAATTGACACAGAGGAAAATGTATTCCTGTCACTGCCACATAATAGCAAGGTTAACTTTTTTTAAAAACTAGATGGCATAATTAAATGTCAACACATTTAACTAATTTGTTATGTCATTAAAAGTAATTGTGCTCATGTTACCTGTTGCCATCATGTTTCACTGTCATCCATTCTTTCAAATAAATTTTACTTTTAGACATCCATGGAATAATGAAGAACTTTTAACATCCATGAAACCTTCTCTTTCAAGCCCTTAGACTACATTAATTGTTTAGACTACTAAAATATTTTTAACACTGAAAAAATTGTTATTTTATGAACTGTTTAACAACTATTTTAGGGAACTGTAGAAGGCTCTCCTTTATGGCATCACTGTGTTTTTGGTCACACTGTCTTTTTTAAGACTGTAATTGGAAAGTTAATAAACATCATTTTCAATTGGCTTAATAAAATTTTGAGGATGAGTAATCTTACAAAATATGAAACACTTTTATTTATTAATTTCGGAAATAAACGTGTATTTAACATACAACAAATGAGGCAACAAATTAGTAATCCGAGTTCGGGTGTAATGCATTGCTGTATTCTAATTACTTTTTGAGGAATGCAGTAATGTAACCACTTACATTTTAAATTTGTGTAATTTGCCTACAGTTGCTAAAGTCAATGTAATTGTGTTTTTTATATTACAAATATAGTTTTGGGAAGAAAAAAATGCTTATTTTAAACCCCTTTTTCTGCTGCAACATCAGTAAATAAGCATGCGCTTCTAAATTGCTGAAGAACAAAAGCTGAATCGGTTGCGGATGAGAGTAGCTGTTTCTTCAAGTGGAAATACAAACGTTACTTGGATTTCATTGAGCGTAAAAACAAAAATATTGCTAAAAGAACTTTCGATTACTTTTAACTCGACCAGCAACTTGTTCAAGTAACAGAAAGCAGTCTATAACAATACTCGTCACCCAAGGAGGACAACAGCGCCCAAAAACACAGCGATCTAACAGGCTAAATTGGATTTTTGTGCAGGATTGAGAGTGAAGGTATCTTCTGAATGTGAAGAGAAGCGTAGCTGCTTATGGGGCTGTTCACATATCGTGTCTTTTGCAAGCGCATATTGGGACCGAATATTGTGCATGCTCGCGTTCCCAGGCGCACGCAGTTGAAAACCACTAGTCATGTGACAAGAACTGACCGATCAGCTTCATACTTTGTAATATACACATTTAGATAACTAATTACCTCAGACAAACACAGAACACCCAAACACTGCAGTGATTTTTCAGTTTATGGATGTCAGTGGTTCCAGGTATCCAGTTTTCTTCTAAATATCTTTTATTGTGTTTAAAAAAAAAAAAAGAACTGGTTTGGAACAACTGAATGATGAGAGAATTTTCAGTTTTGGGCGAACTCTTTAAGACTTTTTAGTATGCCAAGCTGCTGTGATCAACCAATTGTAATTTTTTTAAGTGAATAGTACATTACTAAAAGAGCTGCGGTTTATTTTGTATTTTTTTTTTATGTTTTAAAAGTAACTTCAAAAGTAGTCATTATTAATCAGATAGCATTTTTTCAGTAGTAGTCAGTAATTTGTAATCTATTTTTTTAAGTAACTTACCCAACACTGTTAGTAAATCATGCACATGATTTACTTAAATGAAGGCAATGAATTAGTGAAATGTTTTGATGAATTGATGCAGTAATAGCTGTCTCAAGCAGACACACATACACAAAAAGCAGCTGTCATAGATCAAAAAAATCTTAAGGCTTTTCGTTAAGAGTAGGTGTGAAGTCAGTGCCTTTTATTGGCTGCTACTGATAGCTGATATATCGTGTATCCCTAAACCCCAGAGTTAGTGCTAGAGAGCAGCTTGTGTTCTCTTGAACCTGAGACCTCTGGCGTGGATGTGTAGTTTTGGTGACTTTGGCGTCTCTGAGGGCTGGCGTAGCTGTAGTGTGTCCTCTGTAATGTGTAGTACAGTGGCTTATGTTCCTGCTGATGCTGTTGGCGCAGCTTTCTCAAACTGAAAGTCTGCCATCAATTGTGACTGATCAGCAACATTTAGTAAGGATTTTCATTCCCCTGGCCTTACAGGATGGACGGCTCAGACCCGGAGATCAGCTTATCGCCATTAACAAGGAATCACTGATAGGAGTCACCTACGAGGAGGCCAAAAGCGTGCTCAATAAGGTCAAATTCAGGTACTCGGTCTGGTTAATGTGGATTTGGATTCAGTGATTAAGCGGTGTTGTTGTACTTGTTTTATGTAATGTTTGTTTCATTCCTCTTGTTTGTTATTGAAGTCAAGACCCGGTGGTGGATATTGCCTTCATCCCAGGAAAAGGACCCTTTTCCAGCAGCCCGTCGTTGCATAATGGAGTTCAGAGAGGGGTTGGGAACGGATACAACTCTAGTCGGTTAAAGGTTCATGTGCGATCTCCTGAGGTGTGTGCAGATCACATTGTGTGCATTAGTAGTGCTAAGCCAAAATCTGACATTTTAAGTACTGTATTTAAAAATGCTCCAGCACTCTTCCCTTCTATTCCCTTCTGGTCCTTCAACAACAACACTTACACACTTTTTATGGTGTGTTGTATTCAAATTTTTTATTTAAGAAAATCTATGTATTCTTACAAGACTAAGACTTTTTTTCATCTTGCTCTGACTTTCTAAAGCTAATATTCTCTATTTTATTCTTTATTTTGTCAATAATAATTATTTATATCCCAAAGTTATTTATACCCTTGGCAAATTCAGACTTAATGTTATCTTTATTCAGCCAGCAAGGTACTGTATTTTGACTGGAAAGACAGAGGTTTCACCCAAAATATAATAAGATCTTAAAGAGATATTATTGTGGAAAGAAATACTTCAGAATAGAAGTCAGAATGTACAGTTGAAGTCAGAATTATTAGCCCCGATTGAATTTGTTATATTTTTAAAATATTTCCCAAATGATGTTTAACAGACCAAGGATATTTTCACAGTATGTCTGATAATATTTTTTCTTCTGGAGAAAGTCTTATTTGTTTTATTTCAGCTTGATTAAAAGCAATTTTTTTTTGATAATCTACAGGACATCGTTATACTATTTCTTGCCTAATTACCGTAACCTGCCTAGTTAACCTAATTAGCCTAGTTAAGCCTTTAAATGTCACTTTAAGCTTTATAGAAGTGTCTTGAAAAATATGTAGTCGAATATTATTTACTGTCATCATGGCAAAGATAAAATAAATCAGTTATTCGAAATGAGTTATTGAAACTATTATGTTTAGAAATGTGTTGAAAAAATCTTCTCTCCGCTAAACAGAAATTAGGGGAAAAAATAAACAGGGGGCTAATAATTTAGGGGAGCTAATAATTCTGACTTCAGTTGTACATATTTAATCTTCTAACACTTACAATCCTATTAGATTGTCTAAAAAATAAATGAATCAGACAATGCATAATAACAATTGAAGTATATGTATCCCTCAATACACATATGGAGAGAACAACATTATTATAATACTGTAATAATATATACATATATGTATGTAATATATACATATATGTATGTATTCTTGTGTTTTTTATGTTTTTCTTCAAGGTAATTGCATAATGTAAGATGCATGATATAAATCCTATAAAACATCATTTATATTCTCAAATGTAAAAACTAATGAGAGTAAACTGTCTTTTCATAGATGCGACAAGAGGAAACGGCTCCAGTTCTTTCCTCCTCTCCGGATATCTGTCCTCCAGACATACAGGTTTCAGGTAAGCCTCATGAAGCTTGACTTATAGAGTATGTCTAACCTCCTTATCTCTGTCTTAATATGCTTTACAACTAGTTTCCAGCTTTTCTCAACTCCCACATGAACACTGCAGGTTTATTTATAAGGCTCACATTTCCCTTTTGAAAGGAGTACTCTAATTTCATAACCTTACGAAGCAAGTGTATTTTGTGCAATGTAATCACAAGCTCTTTGTGCCAGTATATCAGATTACATTAGTTTTAGTGCAAAAAAAAAACATTTAAACTCAATCAGTCAATCAAATCAGTCAATTAATCAATGCAAAACAAAATCAATGCCAACACAAGTTTTGTCAAAAGTAAGAGTTAAAAATTATTGTTAGAAACTACTTATATTTAACAAATGTGCATTACATTGATCAAAAGTATTTTTGATGTTAAAAAAGGTTTTTTAAGTATTTCTTAATGTTTGCATTTTTGTTTGCTTGTTTGTAAATAAAGGCAGTCATGAGCAGTGTTAGGGAAAGTTATTTTAGAAAGTAATGCGTTACAATATTCAGTTAGTCCCCAAAAAAGTAACTTGCATTACTTAGTTACTTTTTTATGGTAAGTAAAGCCTTAAGTCCTGTGCACACCGAGACGCTTTTTGCTTGTGTTTTCTATCAACAATTAACGCCCCGTGACCATATAAAGGCCGCCAATGTAATCGTGCACACCAACACGCAAAACGCCAGGCACAAAAGTGTCATTTAAAAAAAAAAACGTCTCAAGCTGCGGTCACACTGAGCTTTTCCTCCCATAGACTTCCATTCATATGCACGCGAATGCGTCAGACCGGAAATGCAGGGTCATGCGTTAAGTTTCGCAGGTTATTATTATTATTTTTTTTAAAAGAGAATTAACTAAACTAATAAGTAACTTGCTTCACATTTTTTACAAAGTAGCTCAAACATTATTACATAATTTTGAAAAGTAATGCGTTACTTGTTACTTAGAAAAATAATATTATTGTTTAATTATTATTATATTATTTTTAAAGTAAAAAAAAAAATCTGTGGATTAATTCTAAAAATTCAATAAATGAAAGCAATCGATAAAAAAGTACATTTAACTTGTTACAATATTTCGAAAAAGTCACTAATAATAAGTAATGAGTAGTAAACTTATCAACCAATAAGATTTTTACTGTTTACTGTATTTCTAAAAGTGTGTTTTTAAATAAAGTTCATGTTAGGGCTGCACGATATTGGAAAAGATTTATATTCATTTATTCATTCATTTTTGTTTTGGCTTAGTCCCTTTATTAATCTTGGGTCGCCACAGTGGAATGAACCGCCAACTTATCCAGCATATGTTTTACACAACATAAAACACATAATACAATTCTGTAGCTCCTGGTCAACTATAGGTCAGAAGGAAAAGTAAAAAGAAAATCGGCAAACTGCCACTTTAGCTCTCAAAAATTTATTTTTATTGTTTAAAAAGTAAAAACATAAAGTGACAGTGTGCAGATTTTTTCCACTGTGTTTGTTTTTGATAGAGCACCTGCCTTTGGGAATCTCAGATGTGCACACATTTCTGTTTTTTGGTTGCTTAACTATAATCCAGACTCAACATTGCATATCTTGTGATGTGATTATTGTGGATATGCACATTGTGATTCATTCATTAATATTCTCGGCTTAGTCCCTTTATTAATCAGGGGTTGCCACGGCGGAATAAACTGCCAACTTATCCAGCATGTTTTACGCAGCGGATGCCCTTCCAGATGCAACCTAACACTGTGAAACACCCACACACTTTTGCATACACTCGCATACACTACGGCCAATTAGCTTAATTAATTCACCTTTACCGCATATCTTTGGACTGTGGGAGACACCAGAGCACTAGGAGGAAGCTCACGCAAACACGGGGAGAACATGCAAACTCTACACAGAAATGCCAACTGACCCAGCCGGGGCACAAACCAGCAACCTTTTTGCTGTGAGGCGATTGTGCTACCCACTGTGCCACCGTGCTGCCACACATTTTATTATCGATGCTAAAACCAAATATTGTGCAGCCCTACTTCATGTTAACAAACTATATATCAGTGATGTGCAAGTGAATGTGAAATGCTCTCCTTAGTGACTTAAACTTCGTGACTCAGTGTAAATGACACCCAAAATTAACCAGTGCACAGAGAAACAGGATTTCTTGCAAAGCAATTATTTATTTACAGAGAGAAATATTAAGGATTAGTCAGTAGGAGTGTGTGGATTTTAATCAGCAGCAAGTTGCAGAGTAATCTCCCGGTGCTTCAGGGGTCAGGCATGTATATGTGAGGTGTTTAAATTACACAATCAAATGCAAGAAGACGTACAAGAGTAAGGGAAGACAGCCGCTTTCATGTCGAGTCAGATAGTGCTCTTATCTCAGCTCACAGCGACTGGAGAGCTGTTCAGTACAGATTGGTTCGCCGTGCGCACTGTGTAATCCTTTCTTGGGGCGCCAAAAAACGGGATTGATAAATTGTTATAGAAACCATACAAAGAAAGTCCATTTTTATTACTTTCAGATACTTTGAAGTCTGAGTGTGTGCTAATATGTCAAGTCACTTCTTCAGACAATAGCTATAGACAATAGCATTTCGGAAGAAAAAATGCTTAATGGAAATGCCAAGATGCACAACATTTGTTTAAATGCACATAAAACACAAATGCACAACTGACTGAATAGGAAAAACTTAAAAAAAAAAATTTTTAGTTGATGAAAAAATGTGCATAAACTACAATGGAAACACATTTACCAAATAAACTCCATCATGCGCATCAAAAAAGTCTATGTGATGTTGGCATGGGCATGATGGGATGGCATTAATGGACAAACCAGCATACCAACCACATTGCACACATCTAAAATGTTGTTTTGGTCATTCTAAAATCCCTTAGTCAAAGTCTGTCATCACAGTGGTGTTATTACCAAAAGAGTGGACTTGCACCTCCAAAAACCACTGCGCCTTCATTGTGATTTGTCTTCTGTGGTGCAAGTTATTTATTAAATAAGAAAAAGGCCCAGTGGCTTCTCCTAACAGCAAATTTTTTGCCAGTTTATGAGGAAGTGTTGATTTTGTTCTCTTGTGGTTTAGGGTTAGCATTGTTCCCACTAATTAGATGGAAAGGTGCTTTATGCTTAAATGTTTTTAATGGCATATAATATTCTGTTTTATTAAATTACAATTGTTACTATTTCAAAATAACATACTTCAATTTCAGATTGTTTTGGCATATTTTAAGCTCCATAATTTAACAGTTTTGTGCAAGTCTAATTCTTATCTATGGATGGCAATGTAGCTACCGAGAAATATTATAAATGAATAAATCAAACTTGCATTGTTTTTTATATGTTGAAGAGGTCACAGCATGAGCAATTGATGAGCTTGTGTCACAACAGCTAAAATATACAGATGCTGAGTGACCTGTTTTTCAATTGGCGTAAGAGATGGTCTCTTTCTTGCAATTGCAACCATTGTACTTCCAGTGTTTTGAGCTGCTGTGACAAGAGCAGAGCATTTGCTAATATCTAGTGTGTCATCCAACCTTACGACCTCTCCTGGAAGCTCTGTGAATCTCCTGCATATCATAGTAGCGTCGTGATCCCCAAAATGAGTTAAAATATGTAGAAATCATAGCAACGAGAGTGCATAAGCAAAAGAACAGATCGCAAGAGGCACAGTGATTTTCTAAGCATTGCATTTGTTAAGTTAAATGAGAAGAGCAGTAAAGATGTAGTGAGTAAAAATCCCCCTCTCTGTCATAGAGCTATTGAGCTGCTGTGAGACTCTCTGGATCTTCTTGTAATGTACTTATTGCAATAAACAGTAGTTTACAGGTCTAGTTCTTTTTAGTAATGAAGTATTCGATTTATAGGTGTGCATTTTAACTTCTTATAGATCAAATGTGTGCTCCAAACTTTTTCTTGATTGAGACATGTTGAATTCTTCTTTCATCATTTGCAGTGTTTCCAAATTGCATTGTAAAGTTGCTTCTGGCCATGACATGTTTACACCTAAATGGTTAAAAGAGATGTGTTTAGGGTATTATATGCAGCATCCTTAATTTATTCTCTTAGTTAAGGCAAGATCTCCACTTAAGCATTATACTTAGAGGGAAAATATACTTTATGCATTATGAAGCTTGAAGCATCAGAATCTCTATTTGGTATCGGCCGATCACTGTGACAAAGAACCGGTACTCGGTATCAGCTGCAAAAATCCTGATTATGGCATCCCTATTTAATATGCAATTAAGGCATTTTTATTAAACATTTATTGGGCACTCACTGGATAAACCCTGGAGGGTAACTGTGGGTTATATGAAATTTGAACTTGAATTGCTTCATAAAGGGGTTAAATGGAATTTTACATACATTTCTAGAGGAAGAGTCTGAACTGTGAAACAAGTCAAGTTCAACCTTTTTTTCTTTTTTTGACATATTAGAGCCAAATCTTTTTACAGATGGGATCTCTTCATAATTCCAAAAAAAGTGCAAACAGTCTTTCTTTTTCGTCAAACAATACATAAATAACCAGGCAAACAATGCTCAAAATCCAATACCTAAATATCCAGGTAAATAATGCTCAAAATTGACAAGTACATGAAAGTATTTTTACCTCTGATGCCTCGCCATAAAACAGTCTCATGGTTTGATTTTTGGTTATGCAATTCAAACATTTTCAAGGGCGTCTTCAGTGTCCAAACATATTTTGGGGTTACTAACATTGACAGAATGAATCACGTCAGACTCGCTGAGATGTCCATCAGACTGTCTCTGTCCCGGAGCTTAAAGTGCAGCGGAGGTTAATCTAGACCGGATGCTAACCCGCCTGACTCGCCCTTGAACTCTGGCTGGTGTTATGTTTACACACTTGAGTGCTCTAATCACTCATGGCATCTATAAAGCAAACAGGGATTAATTAGCCTTTTATCCAGACTAGCTGATCAAATCGTATAAGAATAAGAAAGATCTGTCTGATCTGAATTAAATGGGTGCTGTAATCCTGCAAAAGCCCCTCTGGGTGTGTTTCCTAGAAAGAAAGACTGGCTGCGCTCAGACTCAGACATGTTTTTTTCATCCGCTGTCAATCTTTAATCACTGAGCTTTGTAGAGAAATGGAGTTTATAATCTGTTCTTCATGGAAAGTGATGGTAACTATAACATATTAAATGGCTATTTATTTATTATATGGCTAACGTACAGTAAAGGCTGACTGCTTGTTGTTAAGTACAGCAGGCTTTATTAACACAACTAATATAATTAACTGTATTTTGGTATGTACATATCTACCAACAAAATTGTCCGTAGTGTATGTGTGTGAATGAGTGTGTATAGATGTTTCCCAGGGATGGGTTGCGGCTGGAAGGGCATCCGCTGTGTAAAATGTAAGTTAGTGGTTCATTCCGCTGTGGCAACCCCAGATTAATAAAGGGACTAAGCCAAAAAGAAAATGAATGAATGAATATATACCAACAGGAATAAAGAAAAAAGATAACACAAACGCATACAACTATGGAAGAAAATAACAGATTATTTAATGAATCTCAGTTTCTCTGGATTTGTTAGGTATGGGTTTGAGTATAACGTCTTTTTCAGCATAAATTCCCCACTCAGGGATCAATGAGGGAACCCAAATTTCATTATGACAACGACAGAACAACATATCCCTTTGCCTTATTTTACACCATCCAAAACTATATACAGAAGAAAGAAAAAAGGGGGGTGAAAACAATATTAACAGTAGAAATAAATCTTTAAATTCCATAGAATAAAGGCATTAGGTTGAATGGGAGTAATGTACTCAATCCATTTAAGCCACAAGTCAACAAATGTATCTTTTTGGTTGTGCACACTGTATGTAATTTTCTCCATAATGAATATATTTTTCAAAACATCAATCAAATCTTGCATTTGTGGTGGATTAGGTTTATACCAGTATCTAGTAATGGGTTTTTTACTTAAAGCAAGGATTACTCTATACATATGTGTTTTTTTATTTCTAAAAAAATCCCTTTACAGCATACCCAAATAAAGTACCTTAAAGCTGAAATCAATTGGAGTATTTAAGATATTTTCTAAAAATATCCCTTTCCAAAAACTTCTAATATTAGGACATCCCCAAAATATGTGAAATTGCTTATCATCCTGTGGTCCGCAGTGCTCCAACAAATATTTGGTTTATCCTTATTTCTTCCGAATTAAATATAAAAGTATTATTTTGAGCAATATTCCATCAAATATTGATTTAATTGCTCGTCTAAAGTTACAACAATTGTATTGTGTTGTCTAAAAATGAATATCAACATGTCTGAAGACAGGCACATCATGATTTTTGTTATTTTGACCAATTGCATTTTATGCTGTAAGCAACATTTTGATTTCAATTTTAGAGGAAACTTCATTAGTAGTTAACAAAATAAAATAACTATAAATCATTACATTTTCAAGATGTTTTTCCCCATTTTCTTTCTGAATTTGTTACATTTTCTACTGTTCATCCAAAATTATTTGAAACATTTACAAATATTATGAACATATTTTAGTTTCCCTCATTCCTCAACAAATCCTCCATTTATTACGAAGTTGATATTAAGCAGCACAATATTGGTGTTTCGTAACATCTAGTTTTTATGAGGTGAGTTGCTCAACCCCCAATTTGGAAGGCCAGGACATGCACATATACACTACAGACAATTTAGCTCACCCAATTCACCTATAGCACATGTCTTTGGACTGTTAGGGAAACCAGAGCACCCAGAGGAAACTAAAAGCATTAAAAACTGAAAGGTGAATGAAAAATATAAGTATAAAATAGTAATGAACATTGTATGCAGTATAAACAGCATGTGTTAGAAATGTTAGGGCGAGAAGAAATGATTTGCATAACACTGAAATGCACAAACAAGACGTCAGAGTAACAGTCAGACAGTCTTTAGCAATGATTCAAAGGCACTTGGAAAGGACACTCAAGAGATTAATGAGAGCAGACAACAAACAACTCAAACACAAGGCATTAAACACAGGAGCAAGGCAAAGGCAACTAAACTAGCCACTGGTGAAACTAATGGATAACTATAGAAACAAACAAGGTCATACTAAGTAACCACCTTTCCACCGCAGTGTCAGATCTGCACTCAGTGCTCCTGGCAACAATGCCAATGTTCTGGGGCATGTCAGATTGAAGACTGAGCGTGCCTGTTTTAACCAGGTGGATAATGGCATGTTTATACACTTACCACATGTGGATTATCACATGTGCAAGAAATTATCAATGTATAAACACACATGCATTGATGTTTAAAGATGTTTGTGTAAACTGAAAGTGTGAAGGAATACATTTTCATAGCCTACATGTAAGTAATTTTAGCACGGTATTGCAGTTGCGCAAATATTTGGAAACATACGTAAGCACCTTACCTTGCTTACTTTTCACAGCCTTAACCAAGACTTAACCAAGTCTTGAACTGTGGCTAAAATGTGACAAATGGAAAATAAAAATGCGTGGTACAATCTGTAATTCAATACATGTACATATTTCATTCTGCGTCGTTTAGGTTTTTTTGTAGATTGAAGTGCTGTAAATGTACAGTAAGTTCTCTGCTACCAACAGTGGAACCCCAGAGTGGTGTAAGAAAAAGACACATAAAATAGCGAAGCAGTCCTTGGATTACACGTTTGTTATTTAAAGCACATTTTAAAGATTCCCATGAGAAATAAATTATGGAAATGCCAAATTTCAAATAAAAATCCCTCAGTTTGCAAAGGTTTACACTCACTTCAGTTGGTTTTGAACTTATGTGAAAAAGGGTTAATGCAAATAATGGGAGATGGCAACATGCAGATGCACATAAATCACATTTGTTAGTTTTTTTCTATTTTTTCCATCTCTGAGAAGTTTTTTTTTTAATGTTAAGATGGAAATTCAGCTAAGGATAAACCATTATTTTGATCTCAAAAATGTTTATGTACATATATATATATATATATATATATATATATATATATATATATATATATATATATATATATATATATATATATTTATTTATTTATTTATTTATTTATTTATTTTTAAGAATGCCTGAGTTTCTTCTTTCCTATCAAATGAAATTTAATGTCAACTGGGTGTATCAAGCATTAATAAATGACCAATAAGACTCTTGGTAGCATCATAAATGTTTTGTGAAGGGCGTTGCATGGAATTCAATGCAGGATCCAAATGCAGGTTTATTCAAGAGAGTTGTCATACAAGCAGTGGTCAGAGCAGGAGCAAACAGGTACATGCATAGAATCCCAGACCGTAGTCATAAACAGGCAAATGATCAGTTCCGGCGGCAAGCAATGAAAGCAAACAGACAAGGTAGACGTCAAACACGACAAAGCAAGGCAATAGAAATGTGTCGTAATGTACACTAAACAGATAAAGAAGACTCAGCCCAGATGTGTGTGCGGGTGTGGTTAATATAGTTCTTGAATCAGTCCATGAATAGCTTCAGCTGTGTGTGCAATCAGTGGAAAACAGGAACTGGTGTGTGCAGTTCTTTAGTGTGGAGTGTGTGTAGTTATCCAGCGATCTGCATAGGAGTGGTCTAGAAGATGTTTTTCATACTATGAGAAAACACGTCTCAAAGTTCTCCCTGGCTGCTTAATTTTTAATGAGTGTAAAACTGTAATATTTTTCACTAATACTCATTTCATGAGGTTATAAAATGGACGACAGAAGTCATACTGACTACAAAATTAAAGCAAAATTCAATTTATGTAGACATTACTAGTAATCCATTTTTGTTGGCAATATGCCACAATGTTATAGGCATGCTTTTATGCAGCCTGATCTCACGAGAAAACGTAAGTATTTTACGTTTTGCCAGTTTAGTGGCTAATTCAGCCCTAACCCTAAGTTCAGTCATACAAAATTGTACAATTTTAAAAAGGAGGCATGGCACCTAACCCCACCCCTAAACCCCATAGTCATTGGGGGATGAGCAAATCGTACTAAATTGTACGAATTAGATCGTACAAAATCATACGAATTAGCCACTAAATCAAAAAGTTAAGAATTGCCATGAGATTGTGTTGTTTTATGGGATTTTAGGGCTTGATTATGTGATTCTATGTCAAACAAAAACAAAGCTCAGGATATTTAAAAACAAAAAAAAATCACCTTTTGCGCTGGACATAAAAAAAAAAAATGTCCACGTTTGAACAACATTCAACCATTCCTTTACTGGATAGTCTCTGTGTTTCCACATGCTGGTGGGACATTTATTGAAGCACCATTAATCTGGATTGCTGAAGTTGTCCTGAATTGTGTCCCATCGGTGCCACCTGTTAAATCCACTGGTCCTGCTGTGCGTGTTGGTCCTGTGTGCGTCTGACGTGTCTGAGCTCAGCCTGTCCATCACGAGCGTCAGAAGCCACATAAATAAATCCCTGCAGGAGTTTGGCCTTGGGTGGGGGACGATCATCTCATAGCTCTTATTGCAGGGAGGCGTTGCTTAACAATACATACGCCACCGAAAACACTGGTGTTAATACCTCTCTCTCCCTCTCTCTGCCCCTTCAGTCAAATCCCACACACTATTCATAATCTTTATTGCATTAATATAATACGCATTCATTTCAGCTGTCAGATAGGAAAGAAATCATGTTTTTTTAGGATAGCTAACTAGCTCTTGCAGCTAAATGCAGTAAAGTGAGGATGACTGTTAAAGTAGGTGATTTACTGTCCCACTTTCCCCCTCAGCCTCCACCGCACAGAGACCAGCCACTGTTTCCAAACCCAAGATCTCGCTGGACCCCCACATACGGCTCAAATCAGAGAAGCTGGATCTGGTAAGGCTGATGTACACAAACATTTCACATGTGCGTGAGGACTGCTGCTTTGAGAGGTTGTGAATGGTGACTGCTAAAAGTTTATGTTTGGTTAATAATCCAGGACATCATTTTTATTTTCTGCAGGATTAGTGACTGGGTTAATAATTTTAGCGGATCCACAACAACCACAAAAAAAATGTTTTGTTATTTAAAAACTCAATGTGTTTATATATATATTTTTTTCAAATAAAGGAAGTGATGTTAGGGAGATAATGTAAATGTTATATTTTTCTGTCAATCTGAAGTTCTAAGATATCTCTAAACTTTCTCACTATTTTGACAATATTATCTAGCTATGTAACTTAAACAAGTATCATTTAAAAATTATTTTTAAAAGTATTATTATTGTTTATTAACTCTTAAAAATTTATCTTTTAGTCTGTACCATGGTGTCTGTTGAATGAACAACGTTCCCCTTCGGGGGGAACTTCAGCACTATAAGTGGATTTGATTGTAAAATCCACGCATTGGGAGGTTCGGTTCAGAAGCTACTCGTCTGAAGAGTATTGAACGGGCCAATTAAGAATGAATTGGCAGCGCAAGCCTGCGCAGGTGAGCGGCATAAGCAATCAACTGAGTATATAAGCTCACCTGGCGCAGCAGACGCTATCCTTTTCGCTTCAGAGACTTTCTGATCGAGTCGATGAGGGTTCCTCCTGCTGTGACCAGCGATTCTGAGCGAACGAGAGCATTCTCCCGGTCCAGAGTGTGTACACGCAGTGGCAGACGGTCGAGCTGGGTTTCTCCCTTGCCTGGCGTTCTTTGGGTCCGGTCCTCCAGAGCGGTGCGTATAAAGTTGCAAACTTCACAGAAAGAGCAACACAGTCGTGCAGCACGTCCTTATCAGGACGGCGCTCCGACTGTGCGTTTCTGGATGCGGTGGTTTCCTGTCCTCGGATGATGGGCGCGGGCACTGTGTTACATGTCTGGGGGTCCAGCATGTTAATGCGCTGCTCGCGGGCAGTTCATGTCGTCATTGCGATGCCATGACTGTTGCGCAAGATCGCGGTTAGCCTTTGCAAAAAGGCGAACCACCCCAGTTGTCCCCTGCTCTGCAGCGGGCACTCGGGCAGATCTGAGGGTTTCAGCGAGAGATAATCCGTCGCCCACGGGCCCGCGGACCTCCCGCTCCTCTAAGCGCTCCATCCAAGCTTCGGGCGGAGGAAGCGATCCGTCTAACAGATGGTAGCCCTTACGCCCGATGACACCGGAGACCAGATGTCCACCGCGGCATCGGAGGGTGGGCTTTCATTGTCCGATGATGATCCAGACCCGCTCGCCCCCTTCGGGCTGGTGAGCGCTGTCACTACGGATCCTGAAACGGACATGTTAGCCGTGCTTTCCCGGGCTGCTTCGGCCGTGGGTTGGAGATGGTTTATCCCCCAGCTCCGCGGCCGGACCGACTAGAGGGGCGTTCCCTTCTTCCCGGAGGTGCACAGTAGGCTCACGCGGTCTTGTAAAGCACTTTTTTCTGCTCGTGCTGCGTGTTCCTCCACCCTAACCACTCTTGACGGTGAAACAGCCAGGGGGTATGTGGCGATTCCTCAGGTTGAGTGCGCGATGGCGGTAAATCCGCGCGGCGCCTCTTCTTGGCGGGGTCCGCCTCGTCTCCCATCCAAAGCCTGTAAGTTATCTACCTCCCTCGGAGCTAGAGCTTACATAGCTGCGGGCCAGGCTGCTTCCGCCTTGCATGCGATAGCCACCTACCAGCGCTACCAAGCGCAGGCGCTGGCCGAGCTGCACGAGGGTGGGTCCAACCCAGGCTTACGAGCTTCGCACCGCCGCCGACTTAGCTCTTCGGACTACTGAGTCCGCTGCGTGTGCGTTGGGGAGGACGATGTCCACATTAGTGGTCCAGGAGCGCCACCCCTGGCTGATATGCGCAAAGTCGACAAAGTCCGCTTTCTTGACTTCCCCATATCCCCAGCCAGGTTCGGCGACACTGTCTGTGAATTCACCCAGGAATTCAAGGCGGTGAGAGAGCAGTTGGTGGGTGATGTCTTATCGGCGGTCCGTAGCCCGCTCCGCCCGCCGTGCCATTCATACCTGCTCCTCGCCGAAGGCGTCCGCCTACGAGAGCTGCTCCGCCCCCGCACACGCCTAAGGCGAAGCGAGCGCGTCGGGCACCTCGGAAGCAGGCAGCCCCCCTGCCCAGAACGCCGCTAAGTCCGGCAACGGACCGCGAAGCGCCCCTGGGACAGGCCATCTGGAGAAGAGGGAACTTGCTCTTTCCCCGCTGGAGGGCGGGGCCCCATTTCCAACGGCACTTTTTACTGCCATGAAAACATTATGAAAGGGCACTTTTCACTTCCCCAGATGTGACAGCCCGAAATCTGCCAGTCTGGGACGCTATGCTTTCTAGCTTGCAGATTCGGTGCGTTTCGCCAGTGGCTCACGAGCGCTGGGAGGACGGTCTCCTTTCTCCCACCCCTCGAGCCTCCCCTCCGGAGCTCGGGTTTGGAGTGAGAGCAAATATCCCACCTCCAGCTTTTCCGTGGGACCCGCGAGCTTCCCGGATCAGCACACCCACTCCGCACTGCCCCACTGCTGGTACGTCAGCGATTGTAGCGATGAGTCCATTAGCGAGAGCTCTGCCTGCCTGGTTAGCGCGGGCCAGCTCTTCGCGGTGGCTCATACGCACAATCAGACTCGGCTATGCGATTCAGTTCGCGAAACGGCCCCCCAAGTCACGGGTGTGTATTCACCAGGGTCAGCCCCCTGTCCGCCCCTGTCTTGCGAGAGGAGATTGCTGTCCTCCTGGCGAAGGATGCAATCGAGCCGCTCCCTCCAGCCGAGATGGAGAGCGGGTTTTACAGCCCACGCTTCATCGTGCCCAAAAAGAGCGGTGGGTCACGGCCAATCCTAGATCTGCGCGTTTTGAACCGCTGCCTGCACAAGCTGCCGTTCAGAATGCTCACGCAGAAGCGCATCCTCCGGTGCGTTCGTCCTCTGGGTTGGTCTGCAGCATTAGACCTGATGGACGCGTATTTCCATGTCTCCACTCTTCCTCGCCACCGACAGTTTCTGCGGTTTGCGTTTGAAGGTCGAGCTTGGCAATACAAAGCCCTCCCCTTCGGGCTCTCTCTGTCTCCGCGGGTCCTCACCAAGCCCGCGGAGGGTGCCTCAGCGCCCCTTCGGCTCGCGGGCATCTGCATACTCAATTTCTTTACGACTGGCTGAATTGCCCTCTCTTTTGATTATGCACAGAGTTGATTATGCACAGAGACAAAGTGCTCTGGCACTTCCACCTGTGGGGGTTTCAGGTCAACCGAGAAAAGAGCAAACTCGCCCCCGTGCAGAGGATCTCTTCTCTCGGGCTGGAGCTGGACTCGGTCACCATGGCAGCGCGCCTCTCCGGAGAGCGCGCTCAGCTGATGCTGTACTGTCTGAGAGAGCTCGACAGTAAAATAGTGGTCCCACTGAAACAATTTCAGAGGCTCCTGGGGCATATGGCATCCGCAGCCGCTTCATGCCGCTCGGATTATTCTATATGAGACCACTTCAGCACTGGCTTCACGATCGAGTCCCCAGACGCGCATGGCACGCGCGCGCACACCGAGTCTCTGTTACTGCGCTGTGTCGCCGCGCCCTCAGCCCTTGGAGCGACCCCTCGTTCCTACAGGCCTGGGTGTCTCTAGAACAGGCGTCCAGTCTTGTTGTCGTTTCAGCAGACGCTTCCAACACGGGCTGGGGGGCTGTGCGTTGCGGGCATGCGGCTGCGGACCTGTGGAAAGGTACCCAGTTGCATTGGCATATCGCCTGGAGCTGTTGGCAGTGTTCCCCGCTCTCCACCGTTTTTTTCCGGTGTTGGAGCGGCAACACGTGCTGGTCAGGACGGACAGTACGGCGGCGGTGGCGTATATCAGCCGTATAGGGGGTATGCGCTCTCGCCGCATGTCTCAGCTCGCCCGCCGTCTGCTCCTCTGGAGTCATCCGCGGCTGAAATCGCTGCACGCCATTCATATTCAGGCAAGCTCAACCGTGCAGCCGATGCGCTCTCACGGCAGCCTTGCGTCCTGGAGCATGGAGACTCCACCCCGAGTCTGTTCAGCTGATATGGGCGCGATTCGGGGAAGCCCAGATCGATCTGTTGCTTCCCCCGAGATCGCTCATTGCCAGTTGTTCTTTCCCTGACCGAGTGCTCTCGGCACGGATGCACTGGCTTACAGCTGGCCTCGGGGCACGCGCAATACGCGTTTCCCCCAGTGAGCCTGCTCGCGCAGTTACTGTGCATGGTCAGGGAGGACGAGGAACAGGTTGCTGGTTGCGCCCCTCTGGCTCAACCGGACCTGGGTGTCAGAGCTCTCCCTCGCGATAGCCCTCCCCTGGCAGTCCCTTCGAGAGAGCACCTACTCTCTCAGGGACAGGGCACCACCTGGCACCCTCGCCGATCTTTGAAGAGATTTTTAGACGCGAGGAAGACTTAGGTAACCTCCGATTGCGGTGGCTAATACCGTCACTCGGGCTAGAGCCCCCTCCCCGAGCGCGCCTATGCCCTGACGTGAAGTCTATTCACTGAATGGTGTGTCTCTCGCTGAGAAGACCCCCGTGATTTGCCAGATCAGCGTTGTGCTTTCTTTACGCCGAGAGAAGTTGGAGAGCAGGCTGTCGCCCTCCACACTCAAGGTTACGTGGCTGCCATCTCCGCTCTCATAACGCGGTGGCTGGCAGCACCGTGGGAACGCATAACCTCATCATCCGGTTCCTCAGGGGCGTTAAGCGAATTAATCCACCCCGCCCCCCTTCATGCCCTCTTAGGATCTCGCCCTCGCTACACAAGCCGCGTCAGATCCCTTCGATCCTCGACTCAGTATATTTCTGTCCCTGAAGACAGCTCTGCTGGTCGCGTTGATATCGATTAGAGGGTCGGGGACCCGGAGGCATTTTTCGGTCAGTGACTCGTGCCTGTAATTGGGCTGGCTTCTCTCACGTATGAGACCCCGCCCGCGATATGTGCC